TTGCAATATGTGCTGGGCTAGCCATTAATTAGTATGTGTCAGGCCAGCACAGAGCAGTTTCCCCACATCACAGGTAAGCTTCCCATCCCTAATATAGCGGCAGTTACTGAAATAAAAACTGTTAGGGCCCCAGACAGGTCAAGCAACTGAAATATTGCTGAAATGAGTGTTTCCAGTTATCCTTCCATTTTGGCAGCTTTTAAAGTCACACTATGGGAAGTTGCATAGTAAAACGTGTACCTAAAAGTATAATTTGGGCTCTTTTATATTTAGGCTGCCAGTGAAAGGATGTTAACCCCTTGACGCCGACGTCACACTTATATGCAGCCTCACAGAACTGGGCTTTTTTCCGTGGGGCCGCATATTTGCATACCTGTCTTTGTGCTGGGAGCGTGCCGCGCGGCGTGCTTTCAGCACAAAGATCGGGGTGTCACTGAGAGCCCTGGGGGTTCCCGATTCCAGGTCACATGATCGCTGTGATAGCCTCTGATTGGCTATTACAGTGATCAGTCACTGTGAAGCCCGTGCCCCCCTTGTTTTTTTTTTCTCTATGAATGGAGGAGAGAGATACATTGTATCTCTCTTTCTCCTTGCATAGAGGGAATTGTAAAAAAAAAAAAAAAAGATAAATTAATAAATAAATATTACAAAATAAAATTAAAAAATAAAGAAAAAAATACCTAGATCAAGGTTTGATCTCGTTCACTGCCAGGGTTAGTGTTTGGGTCAAGGTCAGGTTCAATGATTAAGGTCAAAGGTCAGGATTTCTTTTTTTTTTTTTTTAATTGATATCAGTGTCAGTGTGTTTTAGGTAAAAACAAAATGCTCACTATTGTTTCTGGGCTGTACTGTGGGTACAGACAACAAATGACATACACATATATGGTATCGCTGCAATCGCCAAGAGCTGGAAAATTTATTTTGGGTTGTTCTTTAGTGGTAGGTTATGGTAGTAACAAGAAACACACAGCTAAAATAATTTTTTTTTTTTTTACTATTTTTGGTCAGTTTTCCTTTGATAATAAAAAAAAATCAGGAGATATCCATTACCATTTACCACCAAATGAAAGCCCCCAATTTGTCCTGAAAAAAACAAGGTATAATCCACCTGGATGTGCAAAGTAGTTCTGATGACTTGTCCAGTTTTACTAGCACAGTGGCTAAATGGGTTAGCAATTCCGCCTGGCAGTACTAGGGTCGCTGGTTCGAATCCCAGCCATGGCACCTCCTTCTGGAGTTTGCATGTTCTCCCTGTGCCTGCTTGGGTTTCCTCCGGGTACTCCGGTTTCCTCCCACACTCCAAAGACATGCTGGTAGGTTAATTGGCTCCTGTCTAAGTTGGCCCTAGTATGTGTATGTATGAATGTAGGTTAGGGACCTTAGGTTGTACGCCCCTTGAGGGTTAGGGACTGATGTGAATGTACAATATATATGTAAAGCACTGCGTAAATTGACAGTGCTATATAAGTACCTGTAATAAATAAACACATCAAAGGTGCAAGATTGTGCTTAGGCGTTAAGATTTGTTTTACCCTTAGGCGTGAAGGGGTTACAAGCCTATGTATGTATGTATGTAGAGTAAACAAAAAGTATAATAAAAAAAATAATAAAAAATGTAATGTGCCATTTGTAACACAGTCTTAAATATGAACTATAGTAACAACTGTACTTCATTGTTCCAGTGCTCATAATGCTCCCAGTTACCGAGCCTGTGTGCAGCTATTGAGTAGCCTCAGTGGCTATCAGTACACCAGGCGGACCTGGAAGAAGGAAGCATTTGACCTTTTCATGGATCACAACTTCTTTCAGATGGACAGTTCCTGCGTCAGTCAGTAAGACTCTTCTCAATTCTTCTGAAAATGTATAAATAAAATGACTTAAGCCAGATTTGCCCCTAAGATTTAGATTCTATTAGTGACTCTCGCTTGTTTGCAAAAATAAAAAAGAACATTTTGACTAAAAAAATAGTATGTATTCTCATGGGAGCATAGTCCAATATGAAAGTGTGTTGTGTGTGCGCATTTTTTTATGTAAGTGTGCAAAATGGTAAGGACAGGTGGGCAATCTTGGTAAAGGTCAACTTTACTTTTTAGGCCTCATGCACAATGGACTTTTTTTTCAGGTGTTCCTGGTGGCATCTGGCAGTTTGTTTGTTTTTTTTTCTTACCTCTAAACGCCCCTGTATGTTACCCTATTTGTCCATGCGCACACAGTTTTTTAGAGGAGCCAGAAAATAACCCACTGCTAGAGCAGCTAGGCGCGTTTTAGTGCTTGAGTGTTAATTCATTTCATTGGCCAAAATAAATGATTCTGGCCAATTAAATGAATGAACACTCAAATGCTTGATATGGCTAAATGCGCCTAAACGTTACAGACTATTACAAGTGCCAAGTGCTTTTTCTGCTAAAATGCCCCTGCCAGGAGGAAGGACGTCTAGAAGTGATAGAAAAATGTCCGATGTGCACAAGGCCTAACCTAGTTTACCTCCTAGAGTTCACATACTACAAAAATCCCCTACACACAGTCTAAGATTCAGCTGTTGCACATTTTAATACCTTAGATTTGATGTAAATACATTTGTATTAACATCATAAGACACTCTGTTCTTATTTCTCCATATTTAGAATGTTACAAGAACAAGGCCACACAAGACTTGCTGTTTTAATGCTTAGTTGAAAGCATACTTCCAGCACATGGTCATTATTTTTCTTGTGGAAAGCATTTATTTGTCATAGTATTTTGTTCTATTTCTCTGTTTTTCAGTTGATGAATGACTAAATAAGACAAATGCCTGTTGTAATAAACAATTTTACTTACATCTTGTAGCTGGAGGGCAATTATGGACCATCTGATGACACATGACAAAACCACGTTTCGTGATCTAATGAGTAAGTTGTTTTCTCTTCCTTTCCAAGATGTATTGACTACAATTTGTCAGAAGTTCCATTTCTATTTGTAGTTGTCACCATCTGTCTATAACAGTAATATACAGTATCTCACAGAAGTGAGTACACCCCTCACATTTTTGTAAAGATTTTATTATATCTTTTCATGTGACAACACTGAAGAAATGACACTTTGCTACAATGTAAAGTAGTGAGTGTACAGCTTGTATAACAGTGTAAATTTGCTGTCCCATCAAAATAACTGAACACACAGCCATTAATGTCTAAACCGCTGGCAACAAAAGTGAGTACACCCCCAAGTGACAATGTCTAAACTGGGCCCAAAGTGTCAATATTTTGTGTGGCCACCATTATTTTCCAGCAGTACCTTAACCCTCTTGGGCATGGAGTTCACTTGAGCTGTGTTGAGTTATTTTGAGGGGACAGCAAATTTACACTGTTATACAAGCTGTACACTCACTACCTTACATTGTAGCAAAGTGTCATTTCTTCAGTGTTGCCACATGGAAAGATATAATAAAACATTTACAAAAATGTGAGGGGTGTACTCACTTCTGTGAGATACTGTAAATAGTTCTGGATAAGATATATGCTGGCATACATTCACCGTTCACACCACTACTATTGTATTGCAGCACGTGTGGCCGTTGCTCAAAGCAGTTCTCTCAGTCTGTTCACGAACAGAGATGCAGAGCTGGAGCAGAGAGCAATGCTGCTAAAGCGACTTGCCTTTGCCATCTTCAGCAGTGAGATTGATCAGTACCAGAAATTCCTGCCAGATATACAAGGTGAGACATTAGTGCAACATGCTGATTCTGTATCAAACTCTAAGGCCTCCTGCACATCGGAAGTTTTTAATGCTGCTCCTAGGGGCGTCTGCCATTTTTTTTTCTGCCTGTAAACAACCCTTCATGTTAGCCTATGTGTCCATGCACACTTAGGCTATTAGAGGTAGAAAAAAACCTCCACTACCAGTACACCGAGGAGCAGCGGCACTTTGGCAGGAAAAAAAACACATGACGCCTGTAAACACTTGTAAATGATATGTGCATTTAGAGCTTGAGCGTTAACTCATTTCAATGGCCATAAAGCAGCCTAAGCTAAATGTGAGTATCATGTAAATGGGGAATAGCAGTCACTGTGACCTGATACTTGGAATTTGGAATTATTGCTTTCCCGAATCTACAGTGCTGTACTTTAAAGTACATAATTACTTCTACTATTGATATTTTTATTGTTTTCTCTATCCACGGGACCATTGTTGTTAATGTAGGTCAATAACAGAGGGGGTGGGTCAATAACAGAGGGGGTATCTGCACTTTGTTCATACCCTAAAGAGAAACCTAAACATTGGAAGTCTTGACTTTAGTTAATATTTTAGAAGCAGCTATTGAATGATATTTGTAGCAAAAATATTTTACCAGTTTGGTAAAGCAATAGAACCTCTGTGCCTCCACTGGGGAAGTTCACCCTTTTATTTTTGCAGGTGACCATTGTCACTGGTGAGAGAGTCATGTGAAATCCAAAATTGTATAGGTGTCACCACAACTAAAGAGAAGGATTGCCTAATGGGGACACTTATTCTAGTGACAAAAGTCAAAGCAGGAATTTCCTCTCTTCTTCTGTAGTTTATAGGATGTGATGTATTCCCAATGAGACACCTAGAGTGGCAAATCTGAGTGGGGAATTTGTTTAATTTATATATGTTTCATATCGTAGGGGGTTGGTGATTTAATTCTTAAGAGTATTGCAAATAACTTGATACATTAATGTCTGTTTTTCAATGAACAATCAGTGCTGTGTGTCTTTGCTTTTAAGAGCGGCTAGTGGAGAGCTTACGGTTGCCCCAAGTGCCCACCCTTCATTCCCAGGTGTTTCTGTTTTTTCGAGTATTGCTCCTGCGAATGTCTCCTCAGCATCTCACCTCCTTATGGCCAACAATGATCACTGAACTGGTGGGTACCCAGTGTTTATCTGTCTTTTATTTCTTTAATGTCCTCTTTGTCAATAGTACAAAGAACCTCAGCTTTGGGCAGATGAAGTTATTAAGTTTGACGTAAAGACCAAAAGGCATAACCCTTAACTCTTTGTAAGGCTCCTCTTATGATCACAGTATGTTCGTTAAAAAAAACACTAACAGTAATTTTTGGTATATTTTATCAGGTACAAGTTTTTTTGTTAATGGAGCAGGAACTTACTGCTGACGAAGACATAAGCAGGTATATTCCTGTATTTCATTTCAATAGTTCCATAGGTGTGTTCAGTGCTTTGTGATCAGAGAAGAAATGTTCTTTTAGCCACCTTAGCAATGACTGTTATCCTGTTCTTCTGTAGAACTTCTGGACCATCTGTTGCTGCTCTGGAGACAACATACACTGGTGGAAATGGCTTCTCAACATCATATAACAGCCAGCGCTGGCTAAACCTTTATCTGTCAGCTTGTAAATTCCTGGATCTAGCCCTTGCACTACCCTCCGATAACTTACCCCAGTTTCAGATGTAAGTTGGGCACTTTTTTTTTATTCATGTTACCAGCTACAGTTATAGATTTTTTTTTTTCTTGAAAGTGTAAGAACAATGTATATAATTGTTACCACAATATTACATGCTCCTGTTTTGTTTTTTTTAAATGCTTGTAATAGAATATCTTGCTCTGCATTTTAGGTATCGCTGGGCATTTATTCCAGAAGCCTCTGATGACTCGGGTTTAGAGGTCCGACGACAAGGAACACATCAAAGGGAATTCAAACCATATGTCGTACGGCTAGCAAAACTCTTAAGGAAAAGAGCCAAGGTAGAACTACTGAACATAACTTAACATTATACTGTATGCAAACCCCTTAAATGAAATTCTATTATTTGCTTCCTTTTCGTCTGCTAAAAATATACCATTATATACCCTTTTGATATATCTTATGTATAAGTGCAAATCATTTCTCTTGATTTTGCAAGAAAGCTTGTGAGCTGAGAGTTATGGATATGGCGGGGGGGGGGGGGGGGGGGGGGTCAAGAGTGGTATATGAGGAGTGGTCTGTGTACTTTTCAATCCATCATAAATGAAGCAGGCAGGGTTTACATCACATGCCTTAGGAATTCAGAGCTGTCTTGTAGGTAGGTACACATGAACTATTTTTCTGTACTTGCATTATGTTAAAAGGGCTAAATCATGAACAATGTGCATATATTGAAGATGTGTACTAGAGATGTTTTTGATGTACACTTTAAAGTGGACAAAGAGTAGAACTGAAACAAAACAATTATTTTTTTAGAATTTGGTGGACTGTCGATCACTTGTCAAATGCCCACATTTCTTCACTTGGGCAGGTGAGGCCATATGTACATCTTCGACTGAGGAAAATGTGAGGGGATTAATAATCAATAGAATACATATGAGTGACATTTATTAATGTAATGTGTGAAAAATTACACAAACCCCTTCATAGCTACATTGATACATTTATTACCATGGAGCCACATAGCAAGCAAATTATTGCCAAGAAAGGACATTCCTTGATAACCGCTTGAATTAAAACAAGTAAATAATAACCACTTGCCCTCCGAAAGATTTTACCCCCTTCCTGACCAGTCCTTTTTTTTGCTATACCGCACTGTTACTTTAACTTACAGTTGTGCAGCCATGCAACACTGTACCCACATGCAATTTATATAATTTTTTCTCACACAGATATAGCTTTCTTTCGGTGATATTTGATCGTCGCCCTTGGGGTTTTTAGTTTTTGCGCTATAGGCAAAAAAAACATTTTTTTTTACTTTCTGCTATAAAACATTTTCAATCAAAAAAATGTTTTAATCAAATTTCTTCATAAATTTAGTACCATATATACTTAGTTAAAACCCAATAAGTGTATATTGTTTGCTTTACGCAAATGTTCTGGCGTCTACAAACTATGGGATGTATACTGTAATTTTTATTTATTTTTTTTATACTAGTATGGGAGCGATCAGTGACCTATAGTGGAACTTTAATAGTACAGAGGTCAGTCTGACACTTTGTGGGAACCAGTGACACTAATACAGTAATCAGTGCTACTAACATACACACACTGTACTAATGACACTGGTTGGAAAGGGGTTAACATCTAGGGGAAATCAAAGGGTTACGTGTATGCCTAACAGTGCTTTGTGTGTGTACTTTTACTAGGGGATGAGACTTTTTTTATTCCCTGGTTTGCAGGGAAAGAAAATCGGCTCATCCCCACAGACAGGGCAGAGCTCTGTATTGTTTACATACACAGAGGTCTGGTCCTGTCAGCCTCTCCCCCGACCAGCAGGTTCTGGTACGTGATCCAGCACAGGAGAGCCACATGCCGCCACATATGTAAGTGATGCGGTCAGCAAGCGGTTATACCTTCTTAGCTATTCACTAATGCTAGCAGCATAAGAATTAAAAATAATCAGTGTTTGATAGAGCTGTGTTTCTTTCACACCCAATACATTTTTTTTTACTAGTTCAATTGTCGTATTATTATTTTTATTATTAACTACCAGCTCTTGCACGCGTTAATGATCTAGAGAGCTTCTCAATAAAAGTTTGATTGTGGCTACATGCCCATGTGGGGACTTAGGTTAGGGCAAATATTTTTCTATCGCAGAGAAGATGCACCCTTTACATGATTTGTAAACAGGCTAATGCACTCAAAGACAAATTCATGCATAGACTATTGCATACCAAGTAGTTTTTTAACCCTTACCTATTCGAACACCACTCACTTATGATGTTACTATTGTTGTAGAGTTTTTGTTAGAGGGGTGATCTGAAGTTCCAACTGAACTTCTACAAAGAAAGTAGATGGGTCTACTGTTGCCGTTGTGGATCATGTTTCTGGTGCCTGCCCCACAGGGGCACTTGAAATCAAGTTTTGTTGGGGCCTTTTTTTTGTGTGTGTGTTTCTTATCTAGATTACAGTAAACCTGAGACCTTTCACCTAATCATACTGACCTGTGTGGTATCATGGTGCCTTATGAGGGAATGATACTTCTTGTTATGTCTCATTATGATCTTCTTTTGATTGTATTATAACATTATTTGTCATATGCTGTTATTTATGCATATGTTAAGGTTTATGTATTATCTTCAATAAAAACTATTATGGAAAAAAAAAAAAATCAATGTTGATTGAGAGAGTAAAGTTCCACTTTAACTACAAGGTACGTATAATGTCTAAATTGTTCAAAAAGAATTGTTTCCATAGCCAGCTCTCCAATTGCATGTTTATTGTTCAAACCCCATAAATAAGTCCAGAGATTCTGGTAATTATTAGCAGATATTGATGTCTTTTCATCATGACATTGTTTACTGGAACTTAAAAAGGAAACATTGGCTCTCATATTGTTTTTTTTTTTTTGTGACCCAGAAAAACCCAGAAGAGGACATCTCAGGGAGAACATTAGATTGGGACCCAGGACATCTCTTACTTACAATTTCCAGCATTCGCAGTATGGAACAGCTACTGCCTTTTTTCAATGTACTCAGTCAAGTCTTCAACAGTAAAGTCACAAGCAGATGTGTTGGAGACTCAGGGAGCCCAATCCTTTATCAGAATTCCTTTACCAACAAGGATATTAAACTGGAAAACCAGAAAATGTTCTCTAGTAAAGTCAGGCAGAGAATCGAGGAGATGCTGGAGAGGGACTTTCTGGAAGGAGTTCTTAAGAGCTGATCCGTTCTGCAACTTTGATGCACTACTCACTCCTAATTTCACTGACGTTCCTTTCTCAGTTGTGTGGGACCTTTTTTAACTCTGTATGTATTATAACAAGCTTCTTACTTATGATTTGATTGTATTTAATTTAAATATTTTTATTTGTAAATAAAAGTGAGGATTCTGGATGTGACCTAATACTTATGTACTATCTTACGTTATAGAACATAAATTATTTGTCCTATGTTGTTGATTGCTCTAAAACAAAATATTGCAAATATAGATTTGACATTTTTTCACTTTGGGCTGTTTTTTTTTTTTTTTTTTTAATTATTATTGGTCTTCTACTATATGTGTGTCTAAAATGATGTGCCAAATCAGTGCTGCTCATGGGTTTTTGTTATAATTACTATATTATAAGAATAAAAGGGCTATGTGGACATAGTAAATTACTGAATGCCAGCAAAATCCCCTTTTTTTTTGTAAATGAAGACTTGTTTCTTAATGTCCAGAAGGGTATGTTTTGTATGTAGCCTCAGATATACAGAGATAGAGTAATTTACATCTCAGAAATTAGTTTTCACTTTCTAGGTGAATACATAAGAATCAGCTGTTAGTGGAACTTGGTTTGGAGGGATAGGTTTAAAAGAAATGTACATGTATATATGTTTCTTTGTTATGTTCAGATATATGAAATAAATTTGTAAACATTGAAAGAAGACTTTCTGACCAAAGTACACAATATTGGTAAGTGACACAAATTCTTGGAGCCAAAGGATTCAAATAAAAGCCAAGGAAACTAGTATTTTCAGAAGGAAAGCTCAGATAGTAGCTTACCAATTTTCTCAGTACAAGTTTCCCTTGACTGTGAAGGATTTATCCTAGCGTATAATATAGAACAGCCAACCAATCACTTTTACATGCTGCTGTAGCTGGCTGCCTCCACATATACACTACTGTGTCAAAGTTAGGCAGGTATGAAAAAATGCTATAAAATTAAGAATGCTTTCAGAAATAGAAGTGTTAGTTTATCCATTAATAAAATGGAAAGTAAAAGAACAGAAGAGAAATCCAAATCAAAATTTAGTGTGACCACACTTTGCCTTCAAAACAGCATCAGTTCTAGGTACACACAGTGCTTGTGCACGCAGTTTTGAAAGGAATTGAAAAAATAACCCTAACTTCAAAAGCTAATAGGGCTTTAAAAGGTACCATACTGTACCAGTACAAATGAAATGAAAACAGATAAAAATGAAACCCTTTTATTAGGTTAAAAAACCACCTATCGGTGGAAAAAGTTAGTCAGACATAGGCACAAAAAAGGCGTATGATTAAAATCAACAAGTGGTGGCTATAGTAGGTGACAGCCACTGCCCAAGACGTAAAGAACGTCACGGGCATCGGCAATGGTGAACTACATCCACTAACTTAGATCTATAATTCAAAGCATTTCTCATGGTTACAACTGGATACTGTATTACCAGTTTCATCAACACCTATTATGTCCTATGGTTGGGTGTTTTCGTCTATACATGTATATATTTCCACTGATTACCATTTTTCTTTTCATATACAATCTGTACAGTTGAGTCTACCTTGTTCTATGTTAGTGGCTGTAGTTCACCATTGCCGATGCCCGTGACGGTCTTTATATGTTGGGCAGCGGCTGTCACCTATCGCCACCCCTTGTTGATTTTAATCATATGCCTTTCTGTGTCTGTCTGACTAACCTTTTTCCACCGATGGGTGGTTTTTTTTAACCTAATAAAAGGGTTTCATTTGTATTTATGGTTTTCACTTCATTTGTAGTGGTAGGGTATGGTACCTTTAAAGCCCCATTAGCTTTTGAGGTTAGGGTTATTTTTTCAGTTATTTCATTTGTGTGGTAGTTATTTCAGGTGTGGTACTAGTAAAACCATTACAAGGATTGGGAGAGCTATTTTCTCTCCACCTCCCCCCCTTATCCATTGTAGTTTTGAAAGGAACTAAGCAGTTAGGTTATTCCAAATATCTTCAAGAGCTAACCATAGATTTTCAGTGGATATAGGCTGTGTCAAATCCTGTTTCTTCATGAAATCCCAGACAGACGGTATGATGTTGAGATCAGGGCTCTGTGGAGGCTAAACCATCACTTCTAGGACTCCTTGTTCTTCATCACAATGAAGATGGTTCTTAATAACATTGGCTGTATGTTTGGTGTTGTTGTCCTGCTGCAGAATAGATTTGGCATTAAATCACACACCTCCCCAATGGTATTGGCATGATGGATAACTGTCTGCCTGTATTTCTCAGCCTTGAGGATACCATTGATCCTGACCAAATTTCCAACTCCATTTGCAGTGCAGGCCCAAACGTGCAAGGAACAGTCTTCATGGTTGCCTGCAGACACTCATTGTACCATCTTCAAGCCCTTTGGTACACAAACTGCCTCCTGCTACAGCCAAGGATTTTGGCCCATCAGCTTAGAGCACCTGCTGCCATTTTTTTTCTGCCCCTTGGTTTTCAAGCATAGTTGAGTCACTTAACCTTGTTTCCTTGTCTGAGGTATGGCTTTTTAGCCATAATTCTTCAATGGAGACCATTTTTGTTCACTTACTTTCCAAACTGTCACAAATAAGCAAATTAAAATAGAGTTTTGAAGCTTTCTTAATTCACACTTGCCTAAAAAAAAACGTATGTACAGTATTGTACATTTTGAAATTTAGCACACATTTTAAAAAGCCCCCTACTTTCAGAATATATAATGCTTGAGAGTTTTTCCAAGCTAAAAATGCACATTAAAAATTATATATATATATATATATATAAAAATATAATTCTGGCAGAAAATATTTCCCTTTCTTTCCCACGCTTCATTCAGCTATTGGGAAAGAACATACTCAGACCGTCTAGGTATATATTTAAAAAAAAAAAAAAAAAAAAAAGGAAGCACATGATTTACACTTCCTCTCTTGCTCGTGAAAACTGGTATTTGGGCTAGTACTGTGACATAGGCATAAAGAGTATAACCTCAGTACTGTGTATATGAGCCAACTTGCATAGGATGTGGAAAATAAACACGCAGAAGCAGCTGTTTTCTTCAGTGAAGGTACATGTCCTAACAGGAGTGTTTTTAAAGTTTAACCGTCTCCCACCCACCATATAAAAAGGAGGCAAGGCAGTTCTCTCATTCTGGGAGGACATCATAACATCCTCCCACTCTTAACCATAGGGGCGCACAGCAATTGGTGGTGCGCTGTGTCTCTGGGCCACAGCAGATCACCTGTCAATGGAAAGAGCTGAAGATGTCAGCTCTGTCATGTGACCAGCTGTGTCCAATCACAGCTGCTTGCATGTAAATAAGGAAATGCTGGCTATCAGCAGTCCTCTCCCCACAAGCTGTCACGCTGACAGCTCGAGAGGAGAGACTGTAATCGGAGTTACTCAGAGGTGACATGTATACTGATCATCAGTGTGCCCTGATGATCAGTGTAGCCCCATCAATGCCACCTGTCAGTGTCCATCAATGGCATCTGTCAGTGCCTATCAGTACACATCAGTGATGGCTGTCAATGCCCATCAGTGCCACCTACCAGTGCCTCCTTATCACTGCAGCCTCATTAGCACACATCAGTGAAGGAGAAAAATCACTATTTACAAAATTTTATAACTAAGAATATAACTTTTTTTTTTCAAATTGTTCAGTTTTTGATTTAACAAAAAAATAAAAAAACCAGAGGTGATTAAATACCACCGAAAGGAAGCTCTGTCTCAAAAAGAAAGAATTTCATATGGGTACTGTGTTGCATGACCGCACAATTGTCAAAGTGTGACAGCAATGAAAGCTGAAAACTGGCCCGGGCAGGAAGGGGGTATAAGTGCCCTGTAGGCAAGTGGTTAGAAAGAAAAACTTCACTCTCCCAATCAATAGACTATTTTTACTCCTGCTGCTAATAACATTAAATAGATAGGAAAAAGTACAGTATATCATTTACTTTTTTTTTTTTTTTTTTAAATACACATTTCTTCAGTTACTTCTTGGTTTCCATGCCTAGGCATGTCACACATCCCAGGAGCCTTTAGGAGGGGAAGGTTTTGAGCTCAGCAAATGCCTGAGGTAAAGGCAGATGGATTCCAGGACATAAGCGCTATATGAATGATCTGTCCTTACTCAAGATGGCCACTACCAGAAATACAAAGGGGGTGTTTTTCAAACTAATTCTCAGCAAAATAAAGCATGGAGAAATGGATGAGTTTGGTTTGAATATTAGTAATGCATTAAATAGTATTTTGGTTTTGTGGTGCAATTCTACTTTAAGCCTTCTACTATTCCTGATTTTTCCTGTAAAATTCAAGTTTCTTCACCCTTTTTGGTCCTTTTATTGAAATACATGGCTTCTAAGCCCTGGCAAAGAAGTATGGAATCACCACTCTTGGGTTTTTTTTCCACTACACAATTGAACGAACATTGTCCAACAACATCACAGGCATGCCTCAAAACTGTTTTCATATAACATTCCAACCTTCTGGCTTTAAGAAAAACTAATCAATTGCTACTGTTTTTTGGCAGATCTATTTTATTGCTTACCATTTGCATATGGCGCAAACCAAGTAAAAAACTAAGATGCAATTTGTACAATTTCCATTATAATATGGACTTAAGTCCATTTAAAAAAAAAAAAAAAAAAAAAGTGCTTGCCGATTTACATGAATCATGGCTCTAGCATGAGCGATGGCAGTTGAAACAAAAAAGGAGGGGATTATAAAACTTCAAGAAGGTAAATCACAGAATGTTGCAAAAGATGTTGGTTGTTCCCAGTTAGCGGTGTCTAAAATCTGGGCCTAGTACAAACGAATGAGGAACAAATGGGCAGAAACTGGAGTCAATGTCTGTGACCGAACTGTAAGACATCACCAAAAAGGAAATGGGATTTACATACAGAAAATCCAAAAGGAAAAAAAAAAAACAATCCTAAACAGAACAAACAAGGTTACAGTGGGCTAAAGAAAAGCAATCAAAATGGAAGAAAGTGATATTTCAGTGATGAATCACAAATCTGCATTGATCAGGGCAATTATGCTGGAACTTTCGTTTGGTGCGGTTCCAATGAAATTTATAAAGATGACTGCCTGCAGAAAACATGCAAATTTCCACAATCATTGATGATATGGGATTGCATGTCAGGTAAAAGGTACAGGGGAGATGACAGTCATTATCCACTTGCCTTCCAGAGGATTTACTTCCCTTCCTGACCAGGCCATTTTTTTGCAATACGGTGCTGCGATACTTTGACAATTGCTTGGTCATGCAACGCAGTACCCAAATGTATGTCCTTTTTTCTCCACAAAGCTTTTGGTGGCATTTGATTGCCTCGGTTTATTTTTTGCACTATAAAAGTGCAAATTGAGAAAAAAAACACAATTTGACCTTTTTGCTAGTAAACCTATCCACTAAAAAAAAAATAATGACATTTTGGCCTAAACCTTTATGATTACATTTTTAACATTCATATAAACCAATTAATTTGCTACAAAAATACAAACCCAATATGTGTATAGTGTCTACAAATGGTAGTATAGATACTGGAATTTATTTATTTTTTTTTTTTTTATAATGGTAATGGTGACGATCAGTGATATAGTGGGACTGGAGCGGCCATTCTGACACTAGGGGGAGCTGTCAATGACATCCACTACAGTGATCAGTGCTAATAAAAAAAGCACTGACACTGGGCAGGAAGGAGGTTAACATATAAAAGGCAAAGGGTTAACTGTGTGCCATGTGTGCACTTTACACTGTGATACACGGCGATCGCCAGGTCCCGGCAGGGAGTCACCAGTCAGGACCCGGAGATCCACAGGTGAGGCCACCAATGGAGGCGCAGATGGGGCTCACGCGCGCCCCCTATGCGGAGATGCAAAAACACACGATTGTGAGCACCCCTGCCGCCCTATAGCAGTATTTCTGCTAAAGGGTGGCAGGAAAGCTGTCAAATCTTCAATAAATGCACCAGTTTACATTGAGATTTTGGACACTTCTTATTCCATCAACTTAAAGGATGTTTGAAGGAAAGTTTTCACGGCTTTTGCCCTATGGCAAGATGCACTATCCTGAAAAATTATGTTGTCATCCTCAAAGACCTATTGTCAAATGGCATGGCCTGCAAATAGTCCAGACCTCAAGCCAATTGAAAATCTATGGTGGAAATTAAAGGAAATGGTCCATGACAAGGCTCTAACTTGCAAAGCTGAGCTGGCAGCTGCCATAAGAGAAAGTTGGATTGATGAATACGGTTTGTCGATCATTAAATCCACGCCTCAGAGAATTTAAGCAGTTATAAAAGCCAGAGGTGGTGCAACAAAGTACTAGTGGTATACTGTAGTGTTTTTTTCAGGATTCCATAATAATTTTCTTCAGAATTGAGCAATTTCTTATTTTTTTTCCTCTGCTTGATCTACAAAAACAGCTGCAACTGAATACAGTTTGTGTTTCTTAAAGCCAGAAGGTTGGAATGTTAAATAAATGAAAAATAGTTGAGGCATGTCTGTGATTACTTTTTTTTCTACACAATTGAATGAACATTTTCCAAGAGTGGTGATTCTATACTTTTTGCCAGGGGTTGTAATTCACGGATATGAAATTAAAGTTGCCACCTAATCTTCTCTAAGCCAAACTGTGACCAAGAAGCAGTTAAAAGGAAAGTTTTTGGGGTTGTTACAGAATAGTTTCTATTTGCCTCATTTTTTCACTCCGTTTTTTTTTTTTTTTTAGGACCCATTCACACCAAATGCAGTACAGGGTTTTTTTTCTGCATCAAAAATGCATGGGACGTATGTTTAATGGGTTCCAATGGCATAGTTTACACCAATGCAGTGTGTTAAAAAAAAAAAAAAAAAAAAAACTGGAATGCATCAAAAACAATAAATAATGTGAATTTAGAAACACATCCAGAAAAGATCTGGTGTGCGTTTTAGTGGTGTGAACTGGCCCTTAGAGATCTAATTCCTGCCTGAGGCAGTTAAATGTGGCTGTTGTACTACACAGGTTTTGCAAAAACTAAGTATTAACCCCAACTGGCCAATTCCACAGTAGCTTAGCCTGGGCATCTGTGTAGAAATGCTTCCCCATCAGATGCGAGATTCGGGCAACATACTGTATAATACAAAATAGTTTAATTTTGTCATAGATCTGGATTTCCTGAGCATTAACTTATTGATCTAGATCAGTGGTCTAGAAACTGTGGCCCTTTGCTAGCCATTATCTGGCCCTTTGGGCACTGTTCCTCCCACAGACACCAATGATGGTGCAACCATTATTCCTCCCACTGACCTCCAAAGACAGACATTCACTGATGCTAGAGCATGTTCTACCCCTATTGGTCACAAGCTGGCACCCCTAAAGTGAGGACAGTAAACTGGCCCTTTGCTGGGCAAGTTTGGGGACCCCAGATCTAGACCTAGACCATGTATCTTGCCCAATAGCAACCAGATTGAAAGGTTTATCATAACATTCCAAAATACAGATCTGACCAGTTGCTGTGGGGCAAAGCAAACTATTATTAAATAAGGTCCATTCAGATCTAGAGAAAAAAAAAAAAAACACAACATGACAATCCTACTGTTAGTGCTTTTGGTCTGTCCCATTTGGTTACAAAAACACTGATCTACACTACTATTTTAACCTATACATCAGTGGTGGTCATCTTAGCTTACAGATGACTATAGACTATAAATGCAGGGTCACTAGATTACAGGCATTTGTACAGAGGATACCAGGTCAACTCCCCTGAAACCATTAGGAAAGTATGGGCTGGGAGTCACCCATAGTAGTGAGATTTTTGTGTTCACATCGTAATGATGCAACTAGGCCCAAGGTGCAAGGCTAGACCTCAGGTAGCCACACATCCAAGGGACTGGTGCTGATGAGGGTCAGTTGGCCTAAGTGGACAGGTCACTGTAGCAGTCAAATAGTAACAGACCAGAGAGCAGAGTTCTCTGTAATTCTTTGCAAAGTAGAAGGAAGCAGCAGCATGATGCCTTCTCTACACTGAATGGTGGGAAAATGTACATGTGACTCCACCCAGCAGATGACGTCAGTGCTCATTCCCTCAGAATTAATCCTTTCTGCCATAAAACCAGCAGTAGCAGGACATTTGAAAGGTACCCAGTGTTGCAATAAGCTAACGAGATCCTGGTGCTGACACCAATCCTCCAACTTAACAGTGAGTGAATTTTCAGTGAAAGGGCACGCACTGATGCAATGTCAACTCTGGACCAGGAAAGCGCTCAATAGCCAACACGTGAGGTGTGGAAAGCTGCTGGTAGAGCCTAGTGCCTGAAGGTCAAATTCCAGGACAGCCCCACAATGTCCAGTGAGGTCCAGATACAAGTCCCCCAAAGTCATAGCTACCATGTAGAGACCAGCTCGAGCAGCTATGCAGTGGAGACTTGACTGAAGTTATTGAAGAAACAATGGGAAAAAAGGCAAGCAAAATGTGGCAAGACTGTTCCTAGAAGAGCTGAAGCTGACAAGATGTCCATTCTTCTAGAACACTAGCAAAACACTTCGGAATGCTGGGAAGAAGAGGGCTTATGCTGGGGCTGACCTACTTTATTTGTGTGTGCGTTTACGCATCCTCTAGGCAGCAGTATAACAGAATCTTGTTCCATGGACGAGAAAGAAACATTACACTTGCTTACATCAGTGTTTGACACTCTCACAGAAAAGGAATATCATCCACAACATTCATCATATTCATTGGGACCTGGGTACTAATGAGGAAAGGGGATAGTTAAATCATAATTACACCTTTGGGGGGGCTGGGTCAGTTCAGGGGGTTCAGCCTTGCAGCAACAGATTGCGTGTAATGGTGATCTAGTGCTCACTTATTGGTATCAGTTGTGCCCCGTCTAAATATGCATTTTATTGTGGCAGGGTGTTCTGATGATGTCACAGTACCTCACATTTAAGAACACAATGCTGAAGCCTTCTCTGTGGGGTGCTATATAGCAGGTTATCAAACACAGGAGCCAATAGCTGCATTACATATAAAGCCAAAACGTCAAATAATAACAAACACAAGATTGAAAGTTGGTTATAAAGTAGTGTATTGCACGTAAAATATTTCATTTCATAAGATATAAAGGCACCATATCAGAAAAACCATATACATTAATGCATAATAGACAAATACACATTTCACTAGGAATGTAAACATTTGAATTTCCAGCAGATTCCACTTCCCAGAAATATAGTACTTTAACTATGGGTACCGCCATACAGTCATTATTCATTAGATATGCTTCATCTTAAAGGCTTTGGCTGATCTCCAACTCCTCCAGCAAGGGAAAACACAGCTAAGCACACCTCATGTGCTAAGGAATCAGCATTTTCCTGCCAGTCAAAATAGAGAAGAACAACAAGTATAGTCTTAATAGAACCGACACACAAAACAGATTCTTATTCCAGTTGGAATAACTATTTGCTCTGAATATGTTAAAGAAAGCTGAAGTTATGGCAAAGAATATTCACACATCTTCATGGTTTCTGCAGTCACTCACACATACAATGCAGACATCTGTAAGCACAGACTTCAAGGTGAATTTGAATTGGCTCTGTGCTTGAGCCAAGCCTTTAAAGTGAACTTGACCTGGTTTAAAACATTAAGGAAATACTGCAAAAGTGCAGATACCTTATGGGCCTGCAAGTACTTGTGTTGTCTGGGATCATAAGGGGCCCAACTAAAGACTCAGGGATCAATTTGAAAAACAGATACAAACACCAAAAGGAGCCAATTTTAAGCATTGTTGACTTAGAAATGTTTCCAGCCAGATCAGCTTCACTTTAAGATTGAGAAGTCTTTGTAAACACAGCAAATTGTCACCAGTTACCAATAACACTGCTTTAATCCAAGCAATGGTTCTGGTATTATGTCATACACTTAGTACAGAAATCATGAAATCCACACAAGTGTGAATTATCAGTAACATCTTACCTGAGTGTCTGCCTCTGCATAAACACGTACTACATCCTCTGTTCCTGAAGGACGAACAAAAGCTCTGGCCATACTGTAAGCCTTGACAAGTTCATCTATTTTCTCCTGAAGTCCTGGTGGTGTTACAGCACGTCTCTCCGCATCAGTAGTTTCAATTACCTTTCGATCAGCAACCTATTAAGCACAAAAGACCCACTTGTAGGAATATGCTTACAAGAGGCTCACATCCAGCAGAATGAAACTTGCTGGTTTAGCAACAGTGAGACCATAATTGAACCCAACATCTATGATCCCTATAAAATTGACATGGTTTAGCTGTATGCACAAACTAGTTTTCCCAAGGCATATCAATTATAATACAAGTAAAAGAAGGAATGCGCTAATTGGGACAAATGAAACAGGCATATTATAGTGTCAATTAATGAAAATAAAAAAAATAAAAAAAATTATATATAAAAAATAAGTAGAAAAAAAAACCAAAAAACACACAAAATTAATGTGTATAAATAATAATGTCCACAAAAAACCTTGTGCAAAGTCCAACCACCATAAAGTGACAAATTGAGGTCTTGTGTTAAAAAAAACCGTAAAGAAATCCACCACCGAATAAATTGAATAAACTCACCAGAGCTATATGCTGATCAAGTTATAAATCAGCATAAGCGGCGAATGACGGAACGCATAGGTCGGTGCTTAAAGGATGTGACGTCAGGACGTTCCTCGATACGGTCAGAAGTGTGAGACCGCGGTGAGCAAGGCTCGTCCCTGCTTTTTACAGAGGCTGTCATTGCTGGTGTCGACTGGGACACCTTTCTTGTGAGTGTACATCTATGTGGTAAGAAAGTTTGTTTTTAAAAACGTACTGCACCATCATGTCCTTCTTTAATTCCCCAAGTATTGCCGCATTCTATGGTGAGATGACGACCATTTGAGTGAAGTGTTTTCCATCCGTGCTGATTGGCTCATTGGAGTAGATTGCTTCCAGACTTTGGAATTTTCTACAGATAATCGCTCCCAGAGCAATTGCGCTTATGCCGATTTAGAACTTGATCAGCATATAGCTCTGGTGAGTTTATTCAATTTATTCGGTGGTGGATTTCTTCACGTTTTTTTTTTAACACAAGACCTCAGAATTTGTCACTTTATGGTGGTTGGACTTTGCACAAGGATTTTGTGGACATTATTATTTATACGCATTAATTTTGTGTTTTTTTATCATTTTCATTAATTGACACTATAATATGCCTGTTCATTTGTCCCAATTAGCGCATTCCTTCTTTTACTTATGTTTTATACCTTGATTTGGGTTAGGTTTGCAGCTTAGTGGTGTGTAGCATTTGGCGCTTTTCTCATCATTTTTTTTATATCAATTACAATAGCTCAGCATTAGTTGCCCACGTAATAAAGAGATACACACTTTCAGACACAAGTACAGCACTGCAATAGGTAAACTGTGTACCACAAATACACATATGCATGCTGGATGCCATCAGATTTGTAAGATGACCAAGGGCCACAAAGTCTGGTACTTGTGGGACCCTGAAAATCAGTTTGTCTGAGGGGTAGGCCACACAGAAAATAATCACCAACAGACTTGATATGAAAAAAAAAAAAAAAAAAAGCGCAGAGAACACTTATCTGACAGGGTTCCTGGCAGGACCAAAAAAAAAAAAAAAAAAAAAAAAAAAAAAAAAAAAGAGAAAAGGATGGTCCAAAAGAAGTTCTTTGCTGCATTCAGTTTTTTTTTTTTTTGTTTGGGTGAAGGAAGCGATGAAGTTTGATGGATTTATCATCGCCTCCTTTCCAGATTGTTCTAGCCAGATGTAATATAGGACGATACAAGTTCATCCCCTTTTTCAGTGTATCTGGAAGCCAGGAGCATAATACCACTGGGGCCACCCATTCCACCTCCAGGTTATATAATTAATACACAGACTATTTAAAAAGACAGCAAGTCTGCCTATCCGGTTCCCCTATTGAAATCACATGACCGTGACATAATGCACAGGGAATGAGCGGAGGCAGACGCGGACCGGAAATGATGTAACAGGGAGCAAGTCCCAAAAGTTTGTGGTCTTTTATGGCTTCATATATAAGGAAATACACTAGCAATGTAAAAACTTGCATAAAACCATATTATCTTACTGCACAATGGGAGGCTCTTTGTTTGTTCTTCCTTGACATAAGTATAGCCGCATAAGGAATTTGGAGTCTTAAAGGAACCATACCCCCATTTATTGGCTGGGAGTGTGCACAATAGTAGGAGAGTGCCTAGTGTAAGAAGAGGCTTTGGAGTACCTGCAGACTAGAAATTCCTTGTAGGATGAGAACATACAGGCGCAATTTCTTTTGATTGGAGGTATGAGTTTTGAGAGCACATTTTTATCCAGTATGCTGTTGGACGTTTATGAACACATAGGAAATCACAATTTTCTATGATTGGACATTTAAAGAAGAGACTGATGATTATAAATTTGAATTCGTTTATGTTTATTTTTCCCTTTTATATCTCACCTTGAACAGTATATACAGTCAGAGGTTACTACAAGTAATTATATATACACACTACCCCTTTGTATATACACTGAGCATTATTCACCATTCACATTCCTTATGTAGCAGAGCTACAGGTCTTTGCCTTTAAGTAAATGCTCTACATAACAGCTCTGACAAGTTCAAAATGAATGCAAGTACCTACCCATTTCCATACAAGAGATTCGTCTACAACAAAAAGTTTTCAATAATCTCCGGAGAGAAAGGGTCCAGGTAGCCTTTCTCCAAGGGACTCTTTAAATTCAGTAAACTCCTGAAGTTTACACTTTTCCAGTCTCCTTATGCTTATCATGGAACCCAGCCGGACTCTTAAGTCAAGAGGAGTGAGCACTGTCATTTCACACTCTAAAAACTGATCAACTTTGATGACCAGGGTCACTACCTTTTTCTGGAAGGTACTCTGGGGGCAGTTGCAGTAATTTTGGTGAACCTTTACCTTCCATACAAAAATCAGATACATTTCCTGTAGCAGTGCTTTGATAAACTTTCATCCTTTGTAGAAGGAATTTTATTGTGGGTGTAATTTTTCAACTCATTCCTTTGCCACTTTAAGAGTCTTCACACTGAGCAACTGGTTGATCTCTGGCATACAATAATGAAAGAAAGCAAAAACGCAAATTAACGGAAGGCTAACTGATAAACAAATTTCCAATGTGTCCTATTCACACCATAAAGCTGCGTTGACCCATGTTGCACAAAAATGCAACCTGTATGCATTTTAGTGTAACGCAATGCACAGTATATTCTGGGAAAATGCATGTCAATGAACATCAGTGCATGACTAAAATGGATGGAAATGTACATTTTCCATTTTCTCAAGCACTCTTTCCATTATCCAATTTAAGTAATGTGCAACATTATATTGTCAAGTTTTTACTGGTTATGGAAAACGACGTGTAACCCTGTCATCAAGTACGACTGTATGGCTGCAAAAAACTTACTTTTTTTTTTTAAAATAAGACCATAGCTTGGAAACGGTCTTCCTAATACATCCAAAAAAGTGGAACTAGAACCTAAACACCCTAGAGCAGGGGTGTCAAACTGGCAGCCATCCAGCTGTTGCAAACTACAAGTCCCATGAGGCATTGCAAGATTGACAGTTACAAGCATGACTCCCAAAGACAGAGGCATGATGGGACTTGTAGTTTCGCAACAGCTAGAGGGCAGTCAGTTTGACACCCCTGCCTTAGAGGGACCATTTGGTATAACGAACGCAAAATTAATAATCAGAGATAGACACTCATAGCCTGAACAGTGTTCAACAAGGGAAAGATGCCCAATGATAAACCTTAATGGAATATCCTACCCATTCTCAAGCATAGTAAGAGTTATAGATTTAAAGAACTGCTGATGCCTCAAATTCAATGTCAAAGTCCACGAGGCCACAGCCAAGAGCTTTTCCATGTCGGCAAAGAACATTGGCCTGGTTCAATCTCGAGGAAGGATGATGGCCAAAAAAAAGCCCATCCCACTCAGAGCTGTGAAGTAGTGTTAGTGGGGTCTATATGCCCCCACATATCTAGACCTTTCCTCCTCTGATGTTAACAGGGAATGCTCTAGTGACGTAGAGAATTCCTAGGTTCAGCATGCAGCTGAACTAGAATATCAAAGGGCCCACATCCGGTGTCCTCCAACAAGGTCTCTATTCAGGAACAGACTACAAATGATGAAAATTTTCCTTGATTTGTAATGAAAGAAGGGTCTCAGAATCAAAGTTAGAAGTAGTAACTGCAACTAATGGCTTAGAAGCCACTAGGGACATGGGCAGATCAGCCATAGAATTTGTGCAGGATGGTGCATTAACATGCTTAAAGCCTCTATGGTTAGCACCAGCCAGGAGCTGGGTAATTAGAACTACAAAGTCTTGCCTGACTGTAATAGGGACCACCCTGGCTGACAAGGTGAGGGACTTTCCCCACCCTAGCAAAGCCTAGGAGGATCCCCTTCACAAGGTAGACTATAACCATCAGAGAACAGTATTCAATGCTGCAGACAAACCCCTTCAGAAGGCACAGAATATAATGTCCCTGGAACCATTAGTGGAGAGTGAGTTGGGGTCACCCATTGCAGGTGGGCCGTTCCCTCTGTGCCTAGAAAAAGATATGTTGCAACCACATAGCAGCAAAGCAACTTAGGCTCAGGGTATGAAGAAAGGCTTCAGGCACTCATGAAACCAAGACAGATGATAGCAGGTAAGGGTGGCATGGCCAGAGTTGATAGTCATGGTAGATGGGAAGGAAAGAGCACGAAGACTGTGCCACAGTCCACCCAACAGAGGAATTCAGCACTCAGTTGTTCATGGCCAACTCCTTCTACAGTGGAAACAAGCAGAGAATGGACATTTTAGAAAGTGCACTGTAATCCGAACACAAAAGGTGGCTCTTGGTGCTTCGTCCGATTGGCCTACCCACAGAATCTTCAGCGATTCTTTGATAGTAGAGAATCCTCTTCCAAATAGTGGGACGTTTACTTTTAAGGTGCCAACAATATAAAACACAGATATATAAAAAGATACAGAGGTAGAGGAAGAATTCCTTTACTAACATGTGAAATTTAAAATGACCTATGTAAATAAAGTTTTGCCCACTTTTGCATTACTTTCAGAACAGCCCTCAAAGTCAGTCTACTTATTGGATTAAAAATGTTATTTTTTTCACATTTCTAAAAAGTGGATGAGGTCACTTCTCAAGGAAAGTCTGTATTCAGGTGACAAAGACAGGTGGTAATTAATTATATGTGTGCACTCTACCAGGTAGGCACCCATACCAGCATCATCCCATTTTGTAGGAAGGAAAGAAAGGGGAGGCGTGTTGCAAGGGACATAAGAGAACTTCAAGGGCCAATATCATTAACCCAAACACCGTCTCTTAAAATATATAAACCATAACAGACTGCCAAAATACATCACAGCTCATCAAAACCCAATGGTAACCTTGGTAAGGTCACTTAAATGAGGAAATGTTCTAGGATTTAGATCACATTTTGCCCCCCCCCATTAAGCCAGGAGCTGAGGGAGTGAGGGAAGCTACCCCCCTGCACTTATACATGAAGGTAAAAGAAAATGGCATTTTCATTCTCCCTGGAGAAAAAAAAAAAAAAAATTCTTTAAAACGTCAATATCTATGTTCAAAAAGGTTAGGTGTGTACGTAAAATATATTTTCATTCTCACAATAAAAGCCTAGAAGGTGAAATACACACACACACACACACACACACACACACACACACACACGTTTCACACACACACGATTTACTTACTGTCACTTTAAGTTGACGATTAGGGAGGTCAGTATAAATTTCATCCCATTTCTGTATTGTGAGACCTTTCAGGGAAAGCATTGCTTCAATAACCAACATATCCGAAATAGCATCTCCAACGGTCTAGAAAAAAACAAAAAACCCATGATAAAAATGGCTTTTAAACTTTACAATTAAGCATGGGAGAATATAATAAGTATCTATTCTCAACCTCTGTAATATGGCAATATACACTGAAGTAGTCAGTAAGAAATGATAGTACTCTTACCTGGTTGATAAGATTAATTACATTTTCCAGCATTTGAGCAGCTTTTTTAATTTCCTCAGTAGCCCCTGTCTGAATCAGCCGTTTTATCTGTTCTTCGGCATTCTTACTAAACAGCACCTGCCAGAGATAAAACCGCATGCTAAGTGTCTACAGTACTACAAAAAGGTGCCTTTTCATTAAAGTATATGAACTGTACAAGTCTTTTCATCCTAGAACACACTATTTTCCCTGTGCTATTATTTTCCCTTCTGTAATTGTCCATCTTACACTGTGAACCTCCTTCACAACAATGACATTTCTGGAATACAGAGTTGAATGCTCATTTGAGCATCTCCCTTTAAATTTAGATCAGCTCATGGGGGAGATCTCTGATGGGGGGCACAGTCTCTGATGGGGTGCTGCTTCAGATTGAGTGCGGCTTCGAACGAGTGCATAGAAGAAGCAGTTAAACGCAGCAGTTGAACTAAAGCAGGAGAACTTAAGCACAGGAAGACACAACAACAGTAAGAAGCTCTACTGCATGCTGGAAGACTGCAAGCAAACACCCTGGGAAACCTCTTACATGCCTGAGACCCACTCTGTGTGCCTTTATATAATACGCCCCTCTTCTCCTTTCCATATTACTATCCTCTGTTCCCAAATCTCATTTCTCTACCCCTCTGCTCCACCCCACAACCTGTACATCTCCCCCTCACTGCTATCATCTCCCTACTACTGCTCTCTTCACCTCCCCAAAATGTCTCTTCCACTCCTCCTTCTCATTTTCCTCTCCTCCGTTCCCAAATTCCATTCACTATATCCCTCTGCCCCTCCCAAACATTTGTATATCGTGTCCTCACTGCTTCCCTCACCCCTCTATGGCACCCACCACCTCCTCCTATTACTCCACTCTCCCACTGACCCCAACACCTCCACTAGGAGTTTTTCACGCTCCTGCACATCCCGCTCCCATGCCACCTTTCTCACACCTTCTCCTCCTCCTAGCCGCGGGGGACATCTCCCCAAATCCTGGCCCTCCACCTCCCTCACCCCGCTCAACACCCTCCCACTTCCACGTCCTACTGCAACCCCCGCAACTTAGTATCTGTCTCCCTGCTCCCTAAAATCTCCCCCCCCGTTTTCATGTGCACTCCTGAACGCCCGTTCGGTGTGCAACAAGCTTACCGCCATCCACGACCTCTTTGTTTCCCGCTCCCTCAACCTCCTGGCGATCACGGAAACCTGGATCCAGCCCACTGACTCTACCTCCCCTGCTGCACTCTCCTATGGAGGTCTCACCTGGACCCACTCACCCAGGCCTAACGGTCGTAAAGGTGGTGGGGTTGGTCTGCTCCTGTCACCGCAGAGCACCTTCCGAGTCCTCCCAAACCCCCCCTCCCTATCCTTCTCCTCCTTCGAGGCCCACTGCGTCCGACTATTCTCCCCAACCCCCCTGAAGATTGCTGTGATATACCGGCCTCCTGGATCCATACCCCGCTTCCTGGATGACTTCTCCTCCTGGCTACCCTTCTTCCTCTCCTCTGAGCTACCCACCATAATTCTTGGGGATTTTAACATCCCTGTCAACCTCGACAACCCGGACACAGCCCGTCTCCTCCACCTAACCTCCTCCTTTGCACTTGCACAGTGCATACAATCCACCACCCACTCCGACGGAAATATCCTTGATCTTGTCTTCTCCAACCGATGCGCTCCCCACAACCTCACTAACACCCCCTTCCCTCTCTCTGACCACAACCTGATCACCTTCTCTATCTCCTCGTCCTCCAACGCCTACCCCTCCAAATGTCACACTACTACCAGCCGTAACCTCCGCAACCTTAACCCTGCCTCCCTCCACTCTGCAGCTGATCAACTCCACGACCGCATCCTCCCCCTGTCCTGCCCCGACTTGGCTTTGACCGCCTACAACAATGCGCTCTCAACAGCCCTTGACTCACTAGCGCCTTTAACCACACGCAACACCAGACCCCGACCACTCCAGCCCTGGCAGACTGATCACACCAAAACCCTCAAACGACAAAGTCGTGCCCTAGAGCGACTATGGCGCAAAACCAAATCCAAACAAGCCTTCACCCGCTACAAATCTGCCTTCCGCACCTACACCTCCTCCCTCCATGCTGCCAAACAGGCCTACTTCTTGACCCTCATCAAGGCCCTCTCCTCCAATCCTCGCCGACTCTTCTCTGCCTTCAACTCTCTACTCTCTCCACCCCCACCTCCACCCAGCACCTCACTCACTGCCCTTGAGATTGCCAATCACTTCAAAAACAAGATTGACACAATTCGCAAGGACATTGCCGCAACTCACACGCCCTCTCAACCTGTCCCCTCTCACACAGCTACCCCCTTATCCCCCCTCCCCCTCGGCATAACCCGCAGGGACTTCGTCGCTGCTCAAACTCTCTCCAACCCCCTTCACCCTCACTCAGCTACCCCCTCATCACCCCTCTCCCACGACCCCACCACTGCTCTGACCTCCTCTTCCACCCCACCCTACATTCCTCATACTGAAGCTCCCCCAACACTCCACACCTTTGACCTTACTACCATCGAGGAAGTCTCCAAGACCCTCTCTGATGCCCGCCTCACCACCTGCCCCCTCGACCCTATCCCCTCACAACTCCTACGACCTTCCTCCTCCTCCATCCTACGCTCCCTCACCCACATCTTCAATCTCTCCCTCTCCTCAGGCACTTTCCCCTCCCCTCTGAAACATGCACACATCACCCCCATACTTAAAAAGCCCTCCCTGGACCCCAATGACCCGAACAACCTCAGACCCATCTCCCTGCTCCCATTTACATCTAAACTCCTCGAGCGCCTAGTCTACACCCGCCTATGCTCTCACCTCAACGACAACAACCTCCTCGATCCCCTACAGTCCGGCTTCCGTCCCCTACACTCCACCGAAACTGCCTTACTCAAACTCTCAACGACCTGCTAACCGCCAAAGCTAATGGACACTATTCAGTGCTCCTACTCCTTGACCTCTCTGCGGCCTTCGACACAGTCGACCACCCCCTCCTCCTCAAAAAACTACACTCCCTCGGCCTCAGAGATTCTGCTCTCTCCTGGATCTCATCCTACCTGTCACAACGCTCTTTCAGCGTTACCTATAATGCTACCACCTCCCCCTCACTCCCCCTCTCTGTTGGGGTCCCTCAAGGCTCTGTCCTCGGGCCCCTTCTCTTCTCCATCTATACCTCCTCCCTTGGCCAACTCATACACTCTCACGGCTTCAACTACCACCTCTATGCCGACGACACACAAATCTATCTCTCAACCCCCCACCTCACCCCCTTGGTCTCAGCCCGAATCACACACCTACTGAGCGACATATCAGACTGGATGTCGCTCCACTTCCTTAAATTGAACCTCTCCAAAACCGAGTTTCTTGTCTTCCCCCCAGCCCGGACACCACCCCCCATTGATTTCTCCGTCACATCCAACAACGCTACCATCAAACCCGCCCTGCAGGCCAGAGTACTGGGTGTCATTCTGGACTCCAACCTATCCTTCCAGCCCCAAGTCCAATCTTTAACAAACTCGTGCAGACTCCACCTCCGCAACATCGCCAAAATCCGCACGTTCCTAACCCCAGAAACCACTAAACAGCTCATCCACTCCCTCATCATATCACGACTCGACTACTGCAACTCCCTCCTCACTGGCCTGCCTCGCCGCTGGCTATCCCCTCTTCAGTCCATCCTGAACACGGCTGCCAGACTCATTCACCTTTCCAACCGCTCTGTCTCCGCCACCCCCCCCCTCTGCCAATCCCTCCACTGGCTTCCGATTGCGCAACGGATCAAATTCAAAATCCTAACGCTGACGTACAAAGCTGTCCACCATACTGCCCCGAACTACATCACTGACCTAATATCCAAGTACCGCCCAGCACGCACACTCCGCTCCTCACAAGACCTCCTTCTCTCTAGTTCCCTGGTCTCCTCCTCCCCCATGCCCGCCTCCAGGACTTCTCCAGGGTGTCACCCATCCTCTGGAACTCCCTGCCCCAACCCATCAGATTATCACCTACTCTCCTCTCCTTTAGGCGCACCCTGAAAACCCATCTCTTCAGGGAAGCCTACCCCACCCCCTGCTAACTTGCCTCCCTCCTCCACTCTTCCTACCACTCCATCCCCCACAGCTATCTCCTCCTGTGCCACCACCCCCTCCCTCCTAGATTGTAAGCTCGAAAGAGCAGGGCCCTTGATCCCTCATGTTTTGCATTGTATTGGTATTGTTCTGTCACATGTTCTGTCTCCCTTTGTAATGTACAGCGCTGAGCGAACTATTGGCGCTTTATAAATACTGTATATAATAATAATAATAATACAGTGCTCTTTGTAATTATGATTTTGGGAAAGATTAAAATGAATGTGACAAAAGGCATTCCACTGCTAATGTCTGATATCAACTCGCATGCACATCTACAAAGATCTAAGGTCACATAACAAAGCCTGTAGTTAAATCAACACAATGATCATTATGTGGAACCTGGAGTCTTTTTTTTATAAACTGAACTATTAACTTGAACTATTTGGTTAACAAATCTGATCCAACATAATAAAAGCCTAGCTAGTACCCTGGACCCTCAGTTATGGACAATAACCAAAGGGCAACAAAGTTTACACTACCCAGAGAGGACAACCAAACATGCAAAAAATATAAGAACAAAACCAGGACTAGGGGAGGGTATTAGTGCTGTCCTGGACGATTCCTAGAAATAGCGTTAACCGATAAAATAACTGTTTTCCCCAAGTCATCTTCCAGGACAGCTTTTGAGAGGACTGGCTAGAAATAGTTGCTGGGGGGGGCATGTTCAATGCACCCCAGTATCTAATATCTACAGTATCTTGTTGAACTGTGATTCCTTTGTTCTTGTGGGATTCCCACACAAAAAAGGGAGGGAATTCGGACTTCCCGTGACAGTCTAATGAAACTTTTTGTAAAAAAGCAGGGTCCAGACACGATCACTTTGTCTGGCAAGATTGTACAGTATCTTTCTAAACTCAAACTAAATCTTGGATTTCACTGACCTTCCTAGCCAAGACAAAAAGCACGGTTTTTAGTGTTAACAATCGTAAAGGAATCTCAACTAGAGGCTCTTCCACCAACTATATTAAAAAAAAAAAAAAGTTTGAGAGCTGCTTTTATTTTAGGGTACCACCTGCCAAATTGGGGTTTGCTCCATCCTGGAAAAAAAAAAAAAAAAAAAAAAAAAAAAAAAAAAAAAAAAAAAAAACACCTTGAGAACCAAAAAGGAACAAATTGGTCCCACCATTCGTTTATTAGCCATTCTCCAAGATGAGAATATCTCCCATACCTCTCCATAAAATGGTTTTTGTGGAATGCTTTCTGCTGTCCATAACTGTATTTATTACTCGGCTAGACAATCCTTTAGCTCTGAAGAGGTCTCTTTCAGAAGCTTCTGGAATGAGTATTTCTCATTCTGTCCAGAGATTCCTGTCACCCATCCCAAATCGAGACAACGTAATTTTGGCATGCCCTGGTGTGGAGCTGTGCCAACCGTACTCCTGGGAGAGCTGCTGTCTTCAGACCCCAGGCTCAAAACACCCCAGATAGACAAAACGTATCTTAGGACCAGGTTGAGGATGGCTTGTGTCAATATCAGCACTTTGTCTTCATTGCATTGATAACAGCTTAAAAAAAAAAAAAATCATCCTTTGTGCCAGACATGGCTGCAATTTTTCCAAGTTGATCAGCCAGCCTAGGCCTTGCAGATATTCCATGGTTACTGCCACGTTTTGCATCGACATATCCCCCAAATCTGCGAAGAGTAGCAGAATGTGAGTAAGAATAACTTCTATCTCTTGACCTTAGATATTGTAGTGCCTCTAAGAAAATTTGGTGAAAATCCTGGGGGCAGATGCCAACTTGAAAGGGAGTGCATTAAATTGGAAGTAGACCCTTTGCCATGAACCTGAGGAACTTTTGGATAACTCATAGGGATATGGAAGTATGCATCCCTCAAGTCTAGTGTTGCCATGCATACCCCTGGTGACAACATGTCCTTTGTGGAGTATATAGATTCCATTCTTGAATTTCTTGTTTCTCACCGCCTTTAATCATTTTAGATCATCAAGCAAAATTTCTCCAAAAAGGTTTTCTTCAGTAAATATGAGAAAAGAAACCCTTGACCCTTTCCCCTGCCTGGAAGAGACTACTCAAACTCTGATAGCATACAAGCCCACTGGGCTTAAATGATGCAATTAGTTATCAATACTAGGATACACAACACCAGGACATGAATACAGGACCTGTTAACGCATTTCACACATCTCGTACTCAATCACATCACAACTATGCTATTGAATTCTGACAAATATAGAAATCTGGAGATAATATAGTGGCAGTTTGGAACTTTGGTATTGGTACTGTTGTGATAGAGCTTTGTAAAGAGCTGTGATAAAAAAATTATGTACATGAAATTATTATTTTATGTGCGAAAATGTAAAATTGTGTTCCTTTTTGTGTTTTTATTTACATCCCCACTGTAAAAACATTTACGTAGAAGGGAGCATCATGGCTTGGGGCTGTTTTTTGCCTCAGGGTCTGGACGGATTGTTGTCATTGATGGGAAAATGAATTCCAAGTTTTCAAGACATTTTTCAGGCAGGAAAACGTACGACCCATTTGTCCGCCAACTGAAGCTCCGCAGAGGATGGGTGATGCAACAGGACAATTGACCCAAAAGCATACAAGTAATTCAACAAAACAATGGCTGCAACGGCACAGAATACGCCTTCTGGAGTGGCCCAGTCCTGACCTCAACCCGATTGAAATTTTGATGTGGCATGCCCTTAAGAGAGCGATTAAACACTAGACATCCCAAGATTTATATTGCTATTTTTTCTGAAACAGTTTTGTGAAGAGGAGTGGTCCAAAATTATCCAGATCGTTGTGCAGGTCTGATCTGCAACTACAGGAAACGTTTGGTTGAGGTTATTGCTGCCCAAAGGAGAGTCAACCAGTTAAAATTAAGTCCAAAAGGTTTCATACTTTTTTCCTCCCTGCACTGTGAATGTTTACATGTTATGTGCAATTAAACCATGGCAAAACATCTAATGTTTGTGTAGTATTTTTTTTTTTTTTTTTTTTTCTGTGTTCTTCTATTGTTGTGACTTAGATTGATGTTCAGAGCACATTTTTGCCCAATTCATTAAAACTTTTTTTTGTAAATCGTTTTTTCTGGGTTCACATTTTTCTTTTTTTTTGCAACTGTATATGGCAGACCCAGATGGGGCTAGACAGCTTGATTATTTATGGAAGGGTTTTTTTTTTTTTTTGATTGGGAAGCTTTGGAGAACTCCATAGCTGGGTTTAACGTGACAACTATGAGGAACTATTATGGTTTTTTTGGATTTTTGTTAAAAGTTTTGCCATTGTGGAGTTTGGGCCCTTTTGTTTCAGGGATAGAGCAGTCTGAATATTTGGCTGTAGCTGGGATTTTGATTGCCGTGGTCTCTGGGGAAGGTTTGGAGGTACACCCACTAACTCCTCTCAGGTATTTGGCTTAGAAATAATAATGGTGTGTGAACGTTTGTGTATGTGTTATTTATAAATATTTTGTATTTGTTTTATATTATTATATATAAATATAGTATATATATATACACAAAATACACACACACACACACATTTATTTTATATGTTTATATTTATAGATACACACACACACAAATAAATTATTGTTGTGGGTGTGTGTTGTGTGTGTGTATTTTTTTTTTTGTTTTTTGTTTTTTTTTGTGTTTTTGTTTTTTTTTTTTTTTTTTTTGTTTTTTTTTTTTTTTTTTTTTTTTTTTTTTGTTTTTTTTGTGTTGTATATATTTTTAATAATTACACACACACACACACACACACACACACACACAAACATTATATACACACACACACAACAGTTTTAATACTAAAATATATAATATAATAATATTATAACTTTAAATATATTTAATACACTAAATACATACATAACTACATTTTTACATTTACACACACACACACACACAGGCACAAGATTTTTTAATTTTTTTTTTCACCTCCCCCCCCCCCCCAGTCTTTTCTGGTACCAGATTTTCTTTTTTTTCCGTCCAAAGAATGCATTTTCCAGAACTGATTTGCTTTTTTTAGATTTTAATTTTTGGGCAAAGTCTAACCTGGCTTTTTTTTATTCTTCAGGTTTATATTTTTATGGTTTGTTTTCCCACTAAGCACCTTTTTAATCTGAACCCTTTGTATTTGCTTGATTTGTTTTAGTTTATTCTTATGATTGTAACTGACAATGATATATGCCCCCTTTTTTTTTGTATTCCTTTTTTTTTTTTGGATTTTTATTTTTTTTTTTTCCCTTTTTTTTTATATTAGGAATATTAATGCGATATATAATCCAGCACTGTTTATTCTTCCGTGGACGTTTTATTTTTTTTTTTATTGTTTTGCGAGCTCACCAGTGTTTATTTTTTTTTCAAATTTTGTACCAAACCGTTTTATTTTTTATATGCTTTATTTTTTAAATTTTTATTTTTGAGACTGGGTTGTACATTTTTTTTTTTTTTTAATTTTTTGTTTATTCTTTCACACACACACACTGCATGGACCCAGCTTTTTATTTTTTAGCATGATTTTTATTAGTTTTTTTTTTACATTTTTTAATTTTGTTTAATGCAAATATTTTTTTTTGTTTTGAATTTTGTTTATTTTTTTTATTTGCTTGTAATGTTTTATTTAAAGGAGTTTTTTATGATTTTTGAAACAGCTTTTTTGGTTTTTTTTTTTGTCAAATTACTTTTTATTGATTTTTGAAAAAAATTTGGGTTTTTACTACTTATTGTTACAAGAGCTGATTTTTTTAAACCCTTTTTTTTAATTTTTTTGATTTTTTGTTTGACCCTCATTTCATTTTGTTTTTAGTTTTTTATGTTTCACCTTTTCAGCACAAATATCCATTTTTAAACTATAGCTTTTTTAGGTTTTTTTTGTTTTTTACCTGTTTTTTAAAATTGTGCCTGTTCGAGATATAAAAATATATATTTTTTTTTATTTTTTTTTTTTTTTTATTAGCTCCTGAATTCTTTTTTTTTTTATAAGTTTTTTTTTTTTTTTTGTTTTTTTTTTTTTTTTGTTGTATGAATTAATTTTTTTTTTTATTTAATTTAACAGACTTTTTTTTACTGTTTTTTTTGATTTTTAAAATTGCACGTTTTTTTTTATTTTTTTTTTGTTTTTTTGTTTTTTTTAATTTTTTTTTTTAATGTGATAGTTTTTTTTGTATTTTTTTTTTTGTGAATTTTTTGTATTTTTTTTTTTTATTTAAACAGAACCAAACAACCAATAAGTGATGTTTGTGCCCTTAAATTGAATGTTAAAAATTGTTGTTGACCTTAAACATTCACCATGTTTTGTTACCACAATCAAATGACTTAGGGATGTGGCACCGGTTTTGGCGCCATTTATTTTGACTCCCTCGCTAAAAATTAAAACACAAGGAAGCGGATGCAGTTTGAGGTTATGCCTATTAGAAAAAACTAGATTAGATCCCAATGCCAGGTAAAACAGTTCATCTTTGAGAAAAAAAATAAGGGCAATCTCAAATAATCAACAGATCAGTTACTGACTACATACACTATAAAAATATGTTAAAACAAAAAAACACTTTATAACAGGTAGGGGCATATTTACAGCCAGAATGTCTGGTGAATCACTAATTATTCATGCACTCAGTATATGCACCGCCCTACCCCCCCCCCCCACCTCATGATCACCTATCAGCCTACACATTGAAAACCCCCCCCCACCACAAGTGGAATGTCGATTGAGAATAAATTTATAAAGCAATTGAATGTGACATAGTATTGTAATACATCACACTGTTCCATGACCATTGGCCTCAAAATATACCCCAATATCAAACTCCTGTGCTTTATGATGGCAAGTGTTTCACTCCTGTTTTTGTGCAGTATAACAGGCAACCTGCAAAAGAAAAAAAGATTAAACAGATGCCAATAGATTTAAAATACAAAAAGATAAACATAAAAAAAAAAAAAAAAAAAACAGTATATGGGGGGGGGGGAAACACTAAGTATAAACAGAAATCACACCATGCATTAAACCATTAGTCATGCGCTGAGACTTACGCATGATAAAACATCATTGTAATCTCCAAACTTAAACCTGTGCTATGCAGCTACTATTCTTACTTTCCCTTTGCTACCTAACCCGTTTTCTTCTCTCAAACAAGTCCTATATAAACCTCCACTTTAATGTTAAAGCAACAGGAGCCCAAGCAATCTAAGTTGCCCCAAGCACTTACAATCCACGAGACTTGCTAACCAAGAGGTATGAATTGATTTGAAGACAACAGCAGGTAAACTTGGCTTATTAGTACTAGTTGGGGCTGCTATTTTGGGGGGGGGGGGGGGGGGGGGGGGGTAAATACATTGATTTTAGATCAGCCAGTGTTTTAAATTGGTAATAGTATAGGCTTACTGCTCATCACGAGAAAGCCTACCATCACTGTAGTAAGTGAATTCCAGATGGATCGGACCAGGTAAATGTGTAATATGCACAGTTACCATTGGCTCAAGCTGAAACAATTCAGCTATGGTAAAAAATATACTCAATGCCTGGAATTCATGTATAACCCTTTTAACTGTTAGTGCCCTTTTTGTCATTCATTCTTACTCCATGTGTTGATATGTTTTTGTAGGTTTTAACTAGTCTTCAGGCCAAGAATAACAATTTTACATCAACGGGAGAGATCTCACCATTTCCAGTCTGCGTAAGACAGACAGAACTTGTGCCCTGTTAACACCATTTACAGTAGGTGCAGTTCTGCCTAATAGACCCTGCTTGGGCCAAAAACAACATTGAAACGATGTAATTTTTCTTAATTTTCACTAGGTTTGGCGGGCGATGTGTTCTCAAAGAGATCTATAACAAGGTGAACTGATGAAGGTATCCTTATGAAGGGTTGTCTCAAAGATTGACCATATATGGAGTGGAAATTACACACGTTAAGGCCTCTCGATTAGCTATTTGACTCGCGATATATTCGCTACAATAGCAGCTCTACTGCCTTACAACTGTGTCATGTCTTAGCGGTTTAGAGTGGACAAGTAGAACATGTTCAAGTAGCCAATCTATTCTTCCACTATGGACAAAAGAGGAAAGATCGGTATGTCTGCAAAAAATGGTAATTATCCCTACAGCAAGATACTTGTGTAATTTACACAAGAGTGAGCCACTGATTCAGTGATCAAGCACTAACAGAATAAAACGCCAGTGGTGTTAGTACTCTGGGTTGAGCTAAAAATCAACTGTGTAGCTCTAAACCCAATGAGGTGATAATCTCAACTGTTAATTAGACCTTAACTACTTGCCATCCTGAGGATTTACCCCCCCCCCCCCCTTATAGACCAGGCCTCTTTTTGCTATTCGACACTGCACGAATTCAACTGATAAATTGCGTGGTTGGTGTCATGCAATCCTGCACCCAAGCAAAATTTAAAGTCCTTTTTTTCCCCCACACAAATAGAGCCTTTCTTTCAGTGGTATTTGATCACCTGTGCGCTTTTTATTTTTTCATGCTATAAACAAAAAAGACCGAAAGGTTCAAGAAAAACTACAGTATTTTCCGCCGTATAAGACGACTTTTTACCCCTTGAAAATCTTCTCAAAAGTGGGGGGTCGTCTTATACGCCGGTATACGGCATGCTGACACTTTTTAGGGGGGCGGTGCTGCCCCCCCCTTCTAACGGAAGGGACACCAAGTACAGGGGTGGGCAGGGGCTGCGGTCTCTTACTTGGCTCCGGTCCGCGACGATCCGGTCCAGGAAGCGCGGCTGCTCCTTCATTCGGGTTCGGCCACTGGATGTTTGCGTGGCTGCTTGGCTCCGCCTCCTCACCGGTGATTTGCCGCCAGAACTGTAGCTCAGGAAAGGCACACAGGCGGCCAATCACCGGCGAGGAGGCGGAGCTGAGTGGCCCCACAAAAATCGAGTGAAGGAGCGGCCGGTAAGTGTGCCGTGCAGAGGTGCTGCTGCAACCACATATGCTGGCTGCAGCAGCACCATACTAGAACAGGTGTAATTGGTGTCAGTGGGAGGAAATCGTGCCCCATCATTGGTGTCACTGGATACCAATGATGGGGCATTATTCCTCCCACTGACACCAACGATGGGGTATTTCCCCCCCCCCCCACTGACACCAACGATGGGGCACTATTCCACCCCCCACTGACACCAACGATGGGGCACTATTCCTGCCACTGACAAACCAACGATGGGGCACGATTCCTGCCACTGACACCAATGATGGGGCACGATTCCTCCCACTGACACCAATGATGGGGCACGATTCCTCCCACTGACACCAATGATGGGGCACGATTCCTCCCACTGACACCAATGATGGGGCACACGATTCCTCCCACTGACACCAATGATGGGGCGCTATTCCTCCCACTGACACCAATGATGGAGTGCTATTCCCCCCCACTGATACTAATGATGGGGCACTATTCCTGCCACTGATACCAATGATGGGGCGCTATTCCTCCCACTGACACCAATGATGGGGCACGATTCCTCCCACTGACACCAATGATGGGGCACGATTCCTCCCACTGACACCAATGATGGGGCACGATTCCTCCCACTGACACCAATGATGGGGCGCTATTCCTCCCACTGACACCAATGATGGAGTGCTATTCCCCCCACTGATACTAATGATGGGGCACTATTTCCTGCCACTGATACCAATGATGGGGCGCTATTCCTCCCACTGACACCAATGATGGGACACGATTCCTCCCACTAATACCAATGATGGGGCACTATTCCCCCCACTGATACCAGTGATGGGGCACTATTCCTCCCACCAATACCAATGATGGGACACTATTCCTCCCACTGACACCAATGATGGGGCACGATTCTTCCCACTGGTGTGCATTGGAAGAGGGGTAGTCTTATACGGCGAGTATAGCCCAAACACTACATTTTAACAGGAAAAGTAGGGGGTCGTCTTATACGCTCAGTCGTCTTATACGCCGGAAAATACGGTATTTTTTACTTTCGGCTATAAAAAAATGTATAGTAAACTCAAAGTTAGTTATAAATTTAGGCCAAAATGTATTCTGCTACATGTCTGGTTAAAAAAAAAAAAAAAAAAAAAAAAAAAAAAATCCCAATAAGTGTATATTGATTGCTTTTGTGACAGTTATAGCGTCTACAAACTATGGTATAGACAATGGAATTTACACAGCTTTTACTTTGACTGCCCATCACATTTCTTGAGGTGCTTAAATATCAGGACAGTATAAACACCTCCTTTTTGGAAAGTAGACACCCTAAGCTATCTGCTGAGAGGCATATTGAGTCAATGGAAGATTTCATTTTCTTTCCACAAGTTTTTGGAAAATGACAAAACTTTTTTTTTTTTTTAATACACAAAAAGTTGTCATTTAAAATTATGATTTCTCATACAAGCCATATGTGGAATTACACCCCAAAATACATTCTGCTACTACTGACTATGGGGATACCACGTGTGACTTTTTGGGAGCCTAGCCACATACAGCAGCCTGAAATCCAATGACCACTTTAAAAGCCTGAAGGTGCATAACTTCCTCATTTCACTTACTATCAGTTTTTAGAGGCCCTGAAATGCCAGGATAGCCCCCCCCCCTTTTGGAAAGTAGGCACCCCAAGGAAAAAAAAAAAAAAAAAAAAAGGCATGGTGAGTATTTTGCAGATCTAATTTTTTCTCAAGGTTTTGCAATATAAAAAAGTAAAAAAATATGTTTGTTTTCTTTCTTTCATTTTCCAAACAGTTGTGGCTACAAACGAGATCTGCAAAATACTCACCACGCTTCTCAAATTCCTTGGGGTGTCTACTTGGTGCTATCCTGGCATTTCAGGTCCTCTGAAAACGGATAGGTAGTCAGGAACTGTAATGAGGAAAATAAAGCCTTTTAAAAAGCCTGAAGGTGCTTACTGGATTTTGGGGTCCTGTACACGGCTAGACTGACAAAAAGTCTCTCACATGTGGTATCCCCATACTCGGGAGAAGTAGCAGAATGTATTTTGGGGAGTAATTCCACATATACCTATGGCATGTGTGACCAATAAATCATTTAAGTGACAATTTTATAAAAAAATTTTTTTTTTTTTTCCCCCATTTTCCAAAAACTTGTGGTAAAAAAAATAATCCTTGTATTGATTCAACATGCCTCTCAGCAAATAGTTTGGGGTGTCTACTTTTTAAAAAAAAAAAAAAAAAAAAAAAAAAAAAAGGGTCATTTTGGGGGGTGGGGGCATTTTATGCCCAGCATTAGATGTTTATGCCACACATTCACTCTTAACCACCTAAAGACCAAGCCTTTTCTGACACTTTGTTCACATGAAAAAAAAGATCACTATTTTTGCTAGGAAATTACTTTGAACCCCCAAACATATTTTTTTTTAACGCAGACACCCTAATGAATAAAATGGTGGGTGCTGCAATTTTTTATGTCACACATGCAGCGCTTTTTCAAACAAATTTAAAAAAAAAAAAAAAAAAAAAATTTTTACTGTTAATGCACAAAAACAAATATTACAAGTAAAATATAAAAGTTATTTTGATTTTTTTTTATTATTTTTACACTGTCCCTTTCATTTTGTTTTTTTATCACTTAATGCTATCACAGGAAATGCAGACATCTCCTATAAACTTCAATGGGCATTATCATTCTTTCAGAAATCTGGAGTCTACCAGACTCTAGATATCTCCTCTGCCCTTACATTATCTAAGACCGGTGTGACCAGATGCTTTCCCAAATTTACAAATGGCACTGTTTATATCCTGCGAAACTGAAGTGATGAAATGCTCGTAGCTTCTGATTTCTTAGACTATAGAGATGATGGCACCATTCCGGTCCCTAATCAGCTCTATGGTCAGTTGGCAGAAACACCGGCTGCATTCTCCGGTTCCCCCGATGACATGGGACTGCACGAGAAGGTTGTGGAAGGCAGAGGGGGAGGGGCATCCTCTCCCAGTACTTGTAAAAGCAATCCTGCAGCTAATTAGCCACTGATTAGCCACTTTTAAATGAAAGCCGATTGCCGGCTGAAAAAAACGATACCAGGATGATGCCTGCAGCTGTAGGCATCATCCTGATATAACCAAAGTCCAGTGATGTATCAGTATGTCGCTGGTCCTTGTTGGGTATATATGCGATGTTCTTTTTTTGCATGCAGCCTGTGTGCAGAATGAAAAAAAAAAAAAAAAAAAAAAAAAAAAAAAAAAAAACTGCCAGAAAAAGCGTGGTATGCTCACCATTAGAATATACTGCCCTGCATCCACCCACTTCTAATGGTGGGCACACATTAGGTCGCACGGTGCCACATGCGCCAATTCCAAGATTGTACAAATGTCTAAATAGTGGCACGCTTGAATAAAAATTGTCCACGTATTAGTGGAACCCCATATGGAAAAAGGATGACACCAAGTCCCAAACGCATCTTGCCACAAACCATCTTGCCACTACTTCCCATGTAGTCTGGGGCACCCGGGGAGCTCCACGTGACTCTTTTTCCTCGTAAATCTGAAACTTATATGTATAGCCTGTTGCCCTCTCACAGGTCTTCTACATCTTGATCCCATATCTTGGCATGCTTGCTGGGGAGAAAAAAAATTGTTTGAATGCAAGGCGGCCAGAACAATTAATGAGGGACTCAGTTTTTTTTTTGGGGGAGTATAGACATCTGCAAATTGTTGGATAAGGTGATTTACGATGGGCCGAATCTTGTGGAGCAGGTCAAATCCAGGGTCACTCCGAGGACAAGAGTGTGTTGTCATTGAAATGCATAAAATATATTATACTCGCATATCTATGCCTGGCCATGGCAGCAGAGAACATGGCATATGATGAATTGGGTCTGTGGACCAATACAACTGCAATTCTTTTTTTAGTAATGCCCATGGTGAAGGTTAGGCCGCTCAAAAAATTTACATTCGGAAACCTAATGGGTTTCCATGAGCATGGTCTGGCAAGGTTTGAATTTGGGTTGGTGGCGATAAATGGTTATGCATATAAATTGCTTTGATCCACAATCAATGCATACAGGTCTTCCGTGGAAAACAGCTCAAAAAAAAAAAAAATCAAGGGGAGTAGTTACATTTGTGGTTTCCACCTAAATTCCAGGTTGGGCAGTGAATGGGGAAAGTACGTGTGCTGCAGAATGTGTGGGCTGCCATTCAGGACTTGCAAGCACATCCAGAAGGATACTAGGGGCTCTACGGGCCTATCAGCAAATTCTTGGTGGCTGTGGGACAATACGCATCAGCTTGTACTGCACTTATGGGACTCGCCACGTCACCAAGTGATACTGCAGTGCTGGTATGTGAAAGACCGAGATGTACTAGGCTGCTGGTACTTGCCAGTTCACAAAAAGGTAGAGCGGCACTAGTACTGGCACTCTGCTGCATATGAAAGGCGAAAATTTACCGGCAAGTGCTAGCAGAGATCAGGCCAGATTCTGCGAACACTGCGGTTTTGTGTGCAATGTATCAAGTGACAGTGACCTACTAACGCTGGTATAGTGCTGATCTGAGCAAAGATATTGATCCGTTCAGACACTATACTGGTAATGGAGGTTGTGTATGAGCGTGTTCCTGGCAATGAAGGAAGAAGGGGAATAGGAAGAAGAGGAAGAAGAGGAAGAGCGGAGGAGAGTGACAATTTTGAGAAAAACAATATTTTGGACTTTTTGCTATTAAACATGTGCAGTTAAAAAAAAAAATCCCAATACATGTAAATGTATTGGTTTACGTGAAAGTTAGTGTTTACAAATGGCGATATAGATACCTGATGGATTTTTTTTCTTCTTATACTAATAATGGCGGCGATCAGCGACTTATGACAGGACTGCGGCGGGCATTCTGACACTGGGGGGAACTGACTTGGTGTCACCGACATGCCCAGTGACACCAATACAGTGATCAGTGCGAACAAAAAAAAAAAAAAAAAAAACAAAAAAAAAAACAAAAACTGACACTGTACTAATGGCACTGGGCAGGAAGGGGATAACATTTGGGGCAAAGGGTTAACTGTGATGGTAATGTTTTACTGGGGGGCGGATGCTTCACTGTAAAGCACACGATCGGTAAGGCTTTGCTCCGTCATCCCGAGCAGTGTGCCCAATCAGACAGGGAGGAGGGCTGTTGGTAAACAATGGAGCACTCCTCCCTGCTGGTGATTGCCGGTAATCACCGTCCAGGACCCGGTGATTGACACCCGGAGACGTGATCGCCCACCCCCCCCCGGAAATGCAGAAACACACAGCCACCCCTGCATTAGTAAATGTACTGTAGGCGGGCCTTAAGCGGTTAAGGATAATCATAATTAGTGACACCAAGCTCCTATACATCCTACTCACTTCAACAGTCATGAAAACAGCAACATTTACAATACTCTAATGCAGGGTTCCCTAAAGTGGTTAATATGGACCCTAAAGGGTCAGACAAAATGGCAGGGGGTTAGTAAATGTCTGAAGGTCACTAGGTGGTTAACAAATTATAGAAGGTTGATTAAGGTCAGAACCCCATGCCAGTGTTTTTTTTCCTGAAGGCACTGTGGTTATTGGCAAGACAGAGTTGCCCAGAGTTAGATGGCGAGTGGAAAAAAAAGTGTGACAGGAGTAGTGTCCCATTTTATAGCACGCAAAAAAAAAAAAAAAAACCCTACCACACACAGGTGATCAAATACCACCGAAAGAAAGCTCAATTTGTGGGGGGGGGGGAAATTTTATTTGGGTGCAGCGTTGCATGACACCGCGCAATTGTCAGTTCAAGTAACACAGCGTTATAAATGCAAAAAATGGCCTGGTCGGGGTGGGGGGGGTAAATCCTCAGGAGGGTAAGTGGTTAAAACAGTCCTACAGTGGATATAAAAGGTCTACAGAACCCTGTTAAAAATGTCAGGTTTCTGTGATGTGTAAGAAAGAAAAAAAAAAACATATATACGAGACTCACTTCTTCCAAGATGGGCACCGCCTCGACTGCGCAACTCTTCCCCAAATAACACTCCCCCCCCCCCCCTTCCCTTTTTGGGCATACGCTCAAATACGCCACTTTCTTCAGGATATAGTATAGTATAGGATATGGTCAGTAAACTAAAATAATGTGGTTGTATAAGTGTGCACACCCTCTTATAACTGGGGATGTAGCTGTATTCAGAATTGAGCAATCACATTCAAAATCATGTTAGATAGGAGTCAGTACACACCTGCCATCACTTAAAAGTGCTTCTGATTAACCCAAAAGGGTCTTTCCTGACATTTTCTTAGTCGCATCCTACAGCAAAAGCCATGGTCCACAGAGAGCTTCCAAAGCATCAGAGGGATCTCATTGTTAAAAAGGTATCAGTCAGGAGAATTGTACAAAAGAATTTCCAAGGCATTACATATACCATGGAACACAGTGAAGACAGTCATCAAGTGGAGAAAATATGGCGCAACAGTGACATTACCAAGAACTGGACTTCCCTCCAAAATTGATGAAAAGAAAACTGGTCTGATAGTCTGCCAAGAGGCCTACAGCAATATTAAAAGGAGCTGCAGGAATATCTGTCAAGTACTGGCTGTGTGGTACATGTGACAACAATCTCCCATATTCTTCATGTCTGGGCTATGGGATAGAGTGGCAAGATGGAAGCCTTTTCTTAAGAAAAACATCCAAGCCCAGCTAAATTTTGCAAAAACACATCTGAAGTCTCCCAAGGGCATGTGGGAAAATATGTTCTGGTCTGACGAAACCAAGGTTGAACTTTTTGACCATAATTCCAAAAGATATGTTTGGCGCAAAAAACAACACTGCACATCACCAAAAGAACACCACACTCACAGTGAAGCACGGTGGTGGCAGCATCATGCTTTGGGGCCGGTTTTCTTCAGCTGGAACTGGGGCCTTAGCTAAGGTTGTACACACAAACTCTGGCTCTCCAACAGTTTAGGCTTGGAGGAGTAGAGGGAACCCTCTTAGCCCTGGTTCTTACCTGAACTACGTGTCATGCGATTTGACAGTTCCAAATCGCATGACAAGTCACACCCTTTTGTCCGAAATGGAACCAACGTCAGAGTCGCACCAATTTTGAAAATAGTTCCTGCACTATCAGGTGCGACTGGCATAGACATCTGTGTATGAAGTCACACAGATGTCAGGCAAGCCGCACCTGAAATCGCACTTTCCTGCGGCTTTGAAAATTGCGCTACTTCACGTTAAGCAACATGATCTCAAAGTCTCATTCAGTGTGAACCAGGGTTTAAACGCCATTGCAAATCCACCAATAAAAACTCAGTATTGTGACAACCAAAATGGCAGCTGCTGATACCAAGTGGATGGTATTCACAAGAATATATGAAATTTAGATTCATAGCGGTTTACCAATAAAAAAAATGCCTATTATGTGAAAAGACTTTGAATAATGACGCTGTTAACTATTATAACCTTCGATATGTTTTTGATCATTAATGTGTAGTGGTTAATAATGAACATGCTCAGTCATTAAGGCGTTGAGTATTCACAAACTGATTAAAACCAGGAAAGCATTAACCTTCCTTAACCTTAATTAGACATGGACTGCTCCAGTACTATCCATGCCGTTTCAATAGTGAGTGTTTGCTGTAAATGAATCACAAATCTTAGTGAACAAAAATTCCAATTACCTTCATGACTTTTTCCAAGTAACGAGTAGAACTACCATTTGCATATGCCGTTTGCACAACTGCCATTTTCAAGTTTAAATTGGCCTAAGCAAAAATAAATAAAAAAAAAAATTAAAAAATAGTGACAATTAAATATTGGAATAACAGTCTAGGCCATGCATACATTCTGAATGCTGTATAAGAACAACCATCAAGAATCTCATTTTTCCACATTTGAGGTTTGCCACAACATAATTGTACATTGCACTTTCAAATCTTTGTTCTGACTGTCTTTGCACCTCTTGCTTGGCATTTTATTCCACTCAGTGACAGCAAAGAAGCTCACAACTACACCTTTGTCTTTTCTCACCCCTACGTCAAAGCAATTATGTTTTTTTCCATGCGCATAAGCCATTGAACACACTACACATGGTTTTAGCTTCATTCATTTCTAGTTATAAAAACAAAAACTAAGGGATTCCCTTTTCTCATTTCAGAGTATTTATGAGAATCTACCATCTAAGGAGTTAAACTTTAGATAGTAAAAAAAAAAAAAAAAAAAAAAAAAAAAAAAACGTATTCTCCCCTATGCTAAAGATGAGAGCTACTGAACTCTCAGATGCTTTTCAATGGAAAAGCTACATAGCAGTCAAGCCAAGATATTAAAGATGTTTTAGCAAGTATATACTACAGCACCTGGTCATGGAGACAAATGCAGCAAGACAAATTGGGCTGGTCTTCTGGAATATCAGTGCATTGTGGACAACATTTTATATGCCACTTATGTAACATAAGGACTATATGCAAGTACTGCCAAAGAGCAAAGACAGGCAGAATTATAATGTCATAAAACAGTTGACATTTAAAATTACATTTTACATTAAAACCATGTCCACCAACCAAGACAGCACAGATATTGACATGAGGTTTTTTTGGGGGTTTTTTTGGCGGTTTGTAAAGTTTGATTCACATTATATTATCTGGGATGGCTTTTAAATGCTGCCCAAATATTTCAGGTTAGAGATGTCAAGGATTGGACATATGTGGTTTCTCACCAGAGTTAGCAGTCAAAGAGGTATGACACTTTGCTACACTGTTAACTGCCTCGTTGACTAATGCAGAATTGTCCGGGATCCTGTGTTAACCATCTATTTATAGAGGAGTCTGTGTACAGTGATTTTTGCAGAGCATTCCCAGGAGCACTGTATACAACCTACCCATGATATAGACAGGTCCCAAAGCTTACTGGAAAATGGGTTGGGGGCAACTGGCTAGGTCACCAGTCTGTCATTTGTCATAACCTTCCTTGCCCTGAGTGGCCAGCTCTTCTGCTAGAGTAAGGTCTTGTCCTTGACATCCAAGACTCACTTTGTTCAGGTTTTTAAACTATAGACAGTAAGAAATTCATACAATACCTTCAATAAAAGTTCCTTAATGAAAGTGCTTATTAAAGTAGCAATTTTATCCCCATCAAGAAGATGGAAGCCATTATTAAGGTCATTGTAATAGTAGACAATGCGGTCAGCATCCCCATCAAATGAGCAATATCGCTCAACAGGTTTAATATCCATGCCTGGAAAGAAGAGACGTTACTCTGGATCAATATAGAAAAAAAAAAAAAAAAACTAGGCATGTCAAAATTGCAAAAACATTACCATGAGTAAACTCCTTACCTTCTGGAGACTTCTGCTGCACCTTTACATAGTCAGCGCCACACATATAGTTGAGCTTCCCTATAGAACCATCATTAAAAAACTGTATGGAAAGTACAGACTGCAGATATTGTTCCATCTCCTTTAGCTTCAAGGCACCAATACCATTAGCTCCATCTACATTCAAGCACCTAAGCTCACCCCCACAGTCAGGAGCCTAAAGACAACAGAATGTGAAAGCAAACATAAAAATATGCAGTCGCATCTTCGCTAAATCCCTCACTATGATCAACACTGTATGAAATGCAGTGAAAGAAGCAGTCATTCTCAAATAACCCCCCCCCTTTTTATATCCTTTCTTGCAGGTAAACTGATGCACTTTGTAACACAACTTTCATTTGACAATGCAAATTCCACCAACAGGTCTACTAAACTATATACAGTGTACACCTACCCTACAGTCATGACTGAATGACCACACGTTCTTTATGGAATTTAAAAAAAAAAAAAAAAAAAAAAAAAAAAAAAAAAAAAGGCTTCAGGCCAAATCTATAGAAAAACCATCAGAACCACATGTGGCAGAGCCCACCTGCTCAGCACTTTTTTCTTGAGATAGAACTTTAATGCACCAGTCCACTAAATTCTTTTTGCCTGTAGTCTGGAGAGTTGGATACCCCACTTATGAGATATTCCCAAACAAACCCACTGTACATACATAAAGCTTGATCAGATACTAATCAGATTCAGACATGGGTTGGGAGTCTGAATTTGACAGGCGATACATAAAACAGAGAAACACTGAGGAAGTTAAGGGCAGAGGTCTCAGAAAGTTAATTTTCACTGATGCAGTGAGTGGTTCTCTGGCTTCTGGTTGCACTGAATTACACAAAAATCAGAATAAGTTAAACAAAATAGTTTAGTGAATTTAGAAGAGCTGCAGAACTGTCATATAGCATATCTATCTCAATGACTGGTTTACCTGTTGGATGAAATAAGGATTTATTCAGATTTTTTAATGAAACGCTCATGATCCCTTTCAGATGGGTCACTGGGTGTGACTACCGTTTGTCAACAGTGTCTTTGCAATCCATTTATAACTATGACTCCTTGCAAGAAAAATGTTACAGTACAGTACAGGAGTAGAGCAGGGCGTGAACAGCACTCTGCCATCAGTGTCTGTATTTTTCCTGTACAAAAAATATTTTTTTTCCCCTTGTACAGCATAACAGAAAAGCAGGGTGTGAACAGCAGCCATCTGCAGTGGCTCTTAAATCTGGTATAAAAATCTAAAACTCACTGCAAGGATAGTTTTCCAGTCAAGTAGGCAAAGAGTTGGGTGTAAATAGTTTGTTTCTGAAAGATACTGTATACAAATGAAGACCTAGGCAAGCCCATGGTGTGTATAACTGAAATGGGTGTGTGCATTAGGGTACATGGCACTTTAATGTTTCAGGATTGCATAATCGTAGGTTTAGTGCATCAGCGCTCTACAAGACCAGGTTACCAGCAAACTGAATACATAATAAGCATTGGAGATATCAAGCTGTTACGTTATAATGTTCGCTAGGCAGCAGATGTAAAATGCATCACCTGTTGGACCAATTCTTTAAATGCTTTGGAAAGTTTTTGGTAATATCCTTCAACTGTTGGCTCACCATATCCTCCATTTGTATTTCGGCAACAGATAATATAGTGTAGCTGTGGTGTAGTCACTAGTCCATAGTCTTAATTATATAAAAGACAATATAAAATTAATATAAAAACTTCACACATACGTAATAGCGGGTGCTCTTTTGTCTACTGTTTTACAACCATATTACAGCACACAATAGAAAAACACAAGCCTCTGGTACAACCTTCAAATTCCATAAATGTTAAATCTAAACCAGAGCAAGACAAAAAAGCAACCCTCAGCTATAGCAGTTGTGTGTTCAATACCAAAAGTCCTTTAATGTTATGCTTTTTTTTCTTATAACACATAGTAAAAAACAGCAACACAATAAATTGGTTTTACAGAATTACTCTGGTTTCCTCCCTCTTCAGTTTATTGTAAAACAGATGTTTGCCAAATTTGTAATTCAAGGGAAATGTAATAAGTGATGTTCCCCCTCAGTGACCTGTCTCTAGAGTATGAACATTAATCCCTTAGCTCCCAATCCACTGCTCATGTGTATTAGCCCCTCAGCACCCATTCTTTAGTGCATATGGGATAACCTCTCAGCACGCAGTCTCCAGTCCATCCACATTTATTAATTTCACCACACCAAATCCTAGTATCATCTCCATCGACTTTGGTCCAATAGTAATTACAAATACTCTGCCCCATTTTCTGCTTCAACACTGCCCAGTAATAGAAGCCCTGCCCCATTCCCTATACCATGCCACCTCCACTGTTTCTGGACTTCATTTCACACTTCCTGCTAATAATCTGCTTCAATTTTGGGTCATCTTTTCAACCTCAGTTGTTACCAATTCCACAAACACGCACCTTCTGTTTCAGTTTTAGTATTATTCCCAACTCATCACAATCTTTGGTACTGCCGACATGCTCCCTGACCCTTTTTCAGTCCCAGAATAACCTGCTTCCATTTCATTGGGACTGGATCTAGGACAGATGCAGAGATCTACCTCTTCTGTAAAAACCCTTTCTGTAAAGAGCTAAACTCCCATACTGCTACTTTAGAACTGTTCAGTTTTGAAAATGGATGCCAAATGCTTTATGGAGTTCACTCCAAAATTTGCAAGTCAATAAGTTAACTGTACTAACTGTAGTTATGCCCCTCCCAATCCTTCCTTGCACATCTTGCCCCCAAAATACCATCCACACACCTCTGCTGCACGTACTGCCAGCAGTCATACCTGCCGTCCTCGAATCCTGCATATGCATACTGCTGTCACTCATTTTTCATCTCTTGCACCTACTGTCCACGGTCACACCCTCCCACCCTCTCCTGAAAATTTTAATGTAATTCCCTCCAATCTCCTCTCTCATATCCTCCACCCTCTCTTGTACATGCTACTTGCTGTCATATCCACTGCCTTCTTTTGCACATACTGACTGCGGTCATACCTTCAGCACTCCTTTTCTGCACATCCTGTTATACCAACTGTCCTCTTATTCTCCATATACTGCTTGATGTCATGCAGTCATACCCACTGCCCTCTTACTTGCCCCATTGTCGGCTGCCATACCTAATGAATTCTCTATTTGGTAAACACACACATACTCCTTTTTTCTACATATGTACAGTTGACACTCCCTGCACATACTGCCTGCTACCACACTCTGCAAACTGTTCTCCTGCACATACTGCCCACTGTCTCAGCACTTCTCTCTCGCACATACTGCTTGCGGTCATATCTGCTGCCCTCTCCTGCACATACTGCCCCATATCACATCCTCAGCACTTCTGCACCTACTGTGCTGTCATTTTCTTCAAACTCCTTTGCTGCACATACTTCATGCTGTCATAGCCTCTGCACTCTTCTCCTGCATATACTGCCGGCTTCCATGCCCTACGATATCATCTCCTGCACGCAAAGACACTCCTTTACCATACGGGGCAATTATATGTGATCAGTACATATGCAGACTAGGCTTCCCTGAATGGTGGCGCTGCTGCATAATGATTTTACTGGGCTTTTTTCTCTGAGGGTATGCTTATCAACTACCTCAGAGACAGGAAACTATTGATTTTGTATACGGTCCCCTTGGCAGTCGTTTTGCACTGCTACTGACCATGCTGCTTTAAATTCAGTCACCAAATAAAGAATCTACAAATCTGTGCAATGTGCATACATGTTACCAAAAATTTCAGGCATGGGTATTTTATACATACTGTAGTTACACTGATCCAGCTTGGACCAATGTAACTATGTATATACACCATACATGGACAATGCCCCTGGAAGCTGGAAATCACTAAAGTAGACAAAAGCTACTTCAGTTATCTCCACTTGCTTCTGTGTCCTGTGCCTAGCATCTGCACTTCTGCATTCTGAGCATAAGAGGTCAGCTGCTTGACATGGGCGTCCTTCAGCGAATGCTTTGAATGAATGCAGTGTTCTGATTGGAAAAGGTAGAGAGGCAAGGTGGTGAAATCACACTCTCCACCTCATCTAATCAGAACGCTTTGCATTAATTCATCAAATGCAAACCATTCTCTGAATGGGGCCTGTGCCAAGCAGATGGCCACCTGTGTCCAGGATACAGAAGTTCTGGCACTAAGCACAGAATCCAAAAGCAACTGGAAGCTGAATATCATTATCTACTTAAGTGATATCCAGCGGCATCGGCCAGTTATGGCATATACATAATTACACTGGTCCAAGCTGGACCAATATAACAATGTATAAAATACTCCTTCCTGGAATTGTTAAAAATAATCGCTAACAAAAGAGCATTAACTGGGTATATATTATAGCTTCCTTTTACCCACTTACCTTGAAATTTAGAATCTAAGGTGGAAACTCCATCTATCACAGCACAGGAAAGGGTTTCACTGCTTGGCCTGGAGAACAAATCTGTACATAAGCTTTCACATTATCAGTCAATCACGTAAACAAATCCATTAAAAACTGAAATTTCAATTTCTTGGTAAATGTTGCAGAATTAAACCATACCTTCAAGGGACTCTAGTGATCAGCTCATGCTCTTGTGTCTGCGCAAATGATTAATATTTATAGTTGTGACAAAAATCTGAATATCAAAAACATGTGACCAACGATACAACCAATACAAAATACATGTGAAACCAACATAAAACATAAAAGTCCAAGCAGCGAAAATGAAACAGAAGCTAGATTCCTTTGTGCAGGTATTTGCTCAGTTTGCCTGAGATTCCAAAGCTCCACCAAAACACATTTCATCATTAATGACATTACTAATGACGAAATACGTTGGGAGCAGCTTTGTGATCTCAGAGCAAACAATACATCTGAACAAGACAACTGTAGCAGGAGGCTGGATGGTAATGTCTGATGTGATTCAGGAAAGTGTGCCCAGTGGCTTCATATCCTATTTCTATTCCAGTGTTCAAGTTTTATGGCAACTGTAAGTGCAATATCTGGCTGTTTTAATAAACCTAGCATAGAGCACTATATTTATTTGGTCTTCCTTGAGCCCGAATGAGGAGAGTGTTTAAACTTTGTCATTCCACCTGCTGAATCAAGCATTGGACTGCACACTGAATCCATTCTGGAGAGGGATCCATCCCTGCAGAGGGTGCTTGATACGGGGGCTTGTTACCTGGTTACTGATGTACAAGCAACCTGACCATAGCGTTGGGGATCAGATTAAGGCGAGCAGAGTTAAATGGTTCCACATGGAGAGCACTTCTTGAATATAACCTGCACAAAGGAATTAGACTGGTTTCATTTTCTGTGCCGGAACATATATTTGTTGGTTTCACCTATATTTTGTATTGTTGCATAGGTGGTCACATGTAATATTCAGTGATTTTGTCACATCTTTTGAATATTTAGCAATATGGTTTAGAGCCATTTTTTTATTGTTCTATATGTGGTCACATGATTGCGGTTCTCTGACTGTCATGTTTATGAATATTTAGCATCACATTTTAGTGAAAACACATATATGTAAAGAAATATGCACACTTATGTCAGGGCTTGACAAATTTGCTTTGATTCCAGCAGCCAGCTAAAAATGTTAGTAGTTTTTTTTTTTTTTTTTTTTTAACGTATGTGGGTTGTCAGAACCTAGGACTTCACATGATGCATATCAATTAAGGCAAAACCGAACCACGTTTTAGGCACCATTGAAAAAAAAAAATTGGTACCTGAACCTGCGTTTTGCGATCACAGCAATTCTGCTGTGATCCCAAAATACCCAGGTGTGAATGGAGAGGCCCTAGTTCACACGTGATTTTGAAATAATTTTGAAAATGCAGATTCGCATGCCAGGCTAGATAGTTTGTGTTCCTGCTGAGGTGGTTCACAAAGATGTTATCCACACGCATTGTGTTTTGAGCGCCATTATGAAAAGGGTCCTGTGCGAGTTTGTAGCAGTGCATTCCAAACTCGGGCGCGATCCTCCACTGAAGTCTATGGGGAGCAATCCCCCACTGAAGAAGTCTATGGAGGTAGTGTGCAAACCCAGGCGTCAGGATGCAATTTCTAGTCACTATGGAAACCTTTTGCCAGGGATTTGTCAAGCCCTGACTTGTGTAATCCACCCATTCCCACACAACAACCTAGTAATAATCAATCTGGCATACCGTGTATCTCTTCCAATACCTATGAAGGATTCTTGCTGCATATTTAGGGACTCTTGCTTGATTATATTTGTCAGAACCATCTGCAATTCATGCTCCTCAGCATTAGCCAGGTTAGTGGCATACACCTCCCATTCTTGAGCTAGCATTTCCCCCATAGGATCCACCAGTTTTACACCATTGTCTTCCTAGGCAGGAATATCGATACATCAGAATCATATTATATAAAAATGACAAATAAGAAATGTCCATCAAAACTGACCTCAGGGTTGTGTGAGGCAGTCACCATAACGCCAATGGCAGATTTAGTCTTTTTGGACCTCAGCACAGCCAGTAAGCCCATGCGGTACATAACATGGTCCAGATGTTCTGCGTTGGTTCGAAATCCTGCAGTACCATACTGAAGAATGAGTCCAGGAGGCTTGGCATGGCGAGCAGAGGACCTCAATACTGCTTCCAAATGCATCCTGAAATTTAACACAATATCAACACAATCTCTATTGAAAAGATAACAGATGTTTTATGAGACAAAATATGTCACCTCCTATGAGTAATAGGCTTGCCTTGGACAGACTAACTTATAAGAATAATAATTACCTATTATATTTGGTTTTACTTTTTCAGAGTCTGATGCTCCAGTTTGTATCAGGGGCCATCCCAACGCCAATAATTTTTACAGTGTATGTAACCCCAAAATTTAAAATTTTCCTGATATATGTTTTGTACCATGTGCTAAAAGTATCATGGTCTCTTTGTATTTCTTTTGTGTGAAATACCTGATGATCCTGCCAGTATCTTTTCTTTCCCACCTCAAACTGACCACACTAGGCGTGAGAGCACATTCTTCCCAGTGTGGTCAGTTTGCTTCTCAGCATTCTACTTGGGAGCACAGCCTGCCTGTCTTCCAATGATCAGACTTGTGCTGGCACCCCCACCGATGAGACCAGCATGCAAAAAAAAAAAACCTAGAAAAAAAAAAAAAAAAAACAAAAACAGATGATCATTTGTCTCCGATATTCTCATTGTTTGTAAGGGGCATAAAACCGAAACCAAGCCCACCGATTTAGAAATTTAAAAAAAAATTACATTCCTGGCAAGACTTCTAATTTTGTCAGATTAGTTTTTTGAACAGCCCAAGCCTGTTGAAGGCTGTGCAGGAAAGTATGGACCACAAGACTATGTTACGTTCATCAAAAAAAAAAAAAAAAAAAAAAAAAAAATGTATTCTTACAACGCTACATAGCCAGGATATATTATGACCCCAGCCACTTTTGGCAGGACAGACTAGTCTTTATGCAATTATGGTGAAAAATGAAAGTACTGAGGGCAGGTAATGTCAGACCAATCTGATTGAATTTTTTTGACTATATTACCAACATTTCGGACAAGGGTGTTGCTGTGGACATATATATTTCAGCAAGGCATTTGATACAGTTTCCACATAATGATCCAATACAAAAGTTATACAAGCTAGGATTTAACCCTAGGGTGGATCAGTGGATATGCAGCTGGCTGAAGGATAGATACCAGAGTGTGGTTGTAAATGGGGTTCACTCAGAAAAGAGACCAGTCACTAGTGGTGTACCACAATTCTCTGTACTAGGTCCTGTTCTATTCAATCTACACTGCTCAAAAAAAATTAAAGGAACACTTTTTAGTCAGAGTATAGCATAAAGTCAATTAAACTCCTGGGATATTGATCTGGTCGTTAAGTAGCAGAGGGGGGTGTTAATCAGTTTCCACTACTTTGGTGTTAATGGACTTAACAGGTGCACTAGATGGGCAACAATGTGACGACACCCAAACAGGAATTGTTTTACAGATGAAGCCACTGACATTTTTTCCCTACTCATCTTTTGACTGTTTTTCACTAGTTTTGCATTTGGCTAGGGTCATTGTCACTACTGGTACCATGAAGCGTACCTGGACCTACAGAGGTTGCACAGGCAGTCCAACTCCTCCAGGATGGCACATCAATACATACCATTGCCAGAAGGTTTGTGCGTCTCCCAGCACAGTCTCAAGAGCATGGAGGAGATTCCAGGAGACAGGCAGTTACTCTAGGAGAGCTGGACAGGGCCGTAGAAGGTCCTTAACCCATCAGAAGGACCGGTATCTACTCCTTTGTGCAAGAAGGAACGGATGAGCACTGCCAGAGCCCTACAAAATGACCTCCAGCAGGTCACTGGTGTGAATGTCTTTGACCAATCAAACAGACTTCATGAGAGTTGCCTGAGGGCCCGACATCCTTTAGTGGGCCCTGTGCTCACTGCCTGGCATTATAGAGCTCGATTGGCATTTGCCATTGAACACCAGAATTGGCACTTCTGCCAGTGGCGCCCTGTGCTTTTCACAGATAAGAGCAGGAAAACCCTGAGCACATGACAAACGTGAAAGGGTCTGGAAAAGCGGTGGAGAAAATTATGCTGCCTATAACATTGTTCAGCGTGACCAGTTTGTGATGGGTCAGTGATGGTCTGGGGAGGCATATCCATGGAGGGACGCACAGACCTCTACAGGCTAGACAATGGCACCCTGACTGCCATTAGGTATCAGGATGAAATCCTTGGACCCATTGTCAAACCCTACGCTGGTGCAGAGGGTCCTGAGTTCCTCCTGGTGCATGACAATGCCCAGCCTTGGTGAGAGTAAGCAGGCAGTTCATGGAGGATGAAGGAATTGATATCATTGAATGGCCCCCACGCTCGCTTGACCTAAATGCAATAGAACACCTCTGGGATATCATGTTTCGGTCCATCCGATGTCGCCAGGTTGCACTTCAAACTGTCCAGGAGCTCAGTGATGCCCTGGTCCATATCTGGGAGGAAATACCCCAGGACACCATCCATCGTCTCATTAGGTGCATGCCCCAACATTGTCAGGCATACATACAAGCATGTGGGGGCCATACAAACTACTGAGTACCATTTTGAGTTTTTACAATGAAATTTCAGCAAAATAGACTAGCCTTGTGCATCATTTTTTCACTTTGATTTTCGGGTGTCTTTGAATTCAGTCCTCTGTAGGTTGATAATTTTCATTTCCATCAAACAATGGGGCATCCTTATGTTCCTAACACATTACCCAGTCCTTATCAGTATAGATATCCAGCATGATATTTTTCCCCATTGATGTGTTTTCAAAGTGTTCCTTTATTTTTTTTTGAGCAGTGTATATGTAAGTGATATAACTAAAGGATTGGTGGGTAAGGTAGGTCTTTCCTCTGATGAGACAAAGGTGTGCAAGAGAGAGGATATACCTGGAAGTGTCTAACATGGAACATGATTTGGCATTGCTGGAAGATTGGTCAAAGCAGTAGAAACTGCAGTTCAATATTTCCAAATGTAAAATAACACACCTAAGGAAAAAGAATCCCTTAAAGCAGGGGTCTCCAAACTTTCTAAACAAAGGGCCAGTTCATTGTCCCTTAGGTAGGCCAGACTGTGAACCTGTGGGATTAGAACCATCCCTGATGTCCCATCATTGATTTTAGAAGGGGGAATAGTGCCCTATCATTGGTGTCAGTTGGAGGGATAGTACCCTATTGATGGTGTCAGTGCAAGGAATAGTATACCTTAATTGGTGTCAGCTGGAGAAATCATGCCTCAATGATAGTGTCAGATGGAAGAATGGTGAACCATCAGTTGGAGAAATAGTACCTCATTGATGGTGTCAGTAATGGTGCCCCATTGATGGTGTCAGTGAGAGGAATGGCAACTCATCATTGGTGTCAGTGGGAAGGAATGGTGCCCCATCTTTGGTGTTAGGTGGGAATGGTGCACCAAGGGCCAGATAAAGGAAAGCAAAGGGCCACAGTTTGGAGACCACTACCTTAAAGTATATCTAAAGGCAACAGCTTTTTATTTTCCTTAAGTTGTGGATAGACTGGAGAGGGATTAAAACTCAAGTATTTTTATTGCTGTCTGGGTCCCCATTAGGGAGATTCACCCTCTCCATTTGTCCCGTTTACCATTACCAAGAAAATCCTAAATTCTGAGGCCCTTCCAGCCTAGTAAGAGGGGAATCTTCCAATGGGGAGACAAAGTATTTCTCACTACCTGAATGGAAAACTGCCCAACAGAACACTGATGGCAAAAAAAAAAAACCTTGACAGTGGTTAGAACCCCTCAACACTATCCAAATGAAAATGTGTCTTTAGTTTTATTAGAAAAAAAAATACTATTTGGGTTGTCACCAGTGCAGGAAAAGAGCGGAAACTTTCTGATGTTGACTAGTACCAGTGATTTCATATCACTTCCTGTTCTGGATACGGGATGGGAATTGAACCCAGCAAAACAACCTGACAGGGCCCTCCTCCACCCGTTACTTTAATTCTAGCAACGGAAAACGAGTTGGGAAAGGTATAGGAGGATGTGAGAACAATGAGCTGTAGAGGCTTTCCAATGCACCAGCTGTGCGGGGAATGTCGCTGGAAATATCTACATAGTGACACGGGGAGACGTGACAGCAGGACGCCGTACACGCTCCATGTATAGTGAGCACACTTCCAGGGTGAGCGCCACACTGCTATAATGCCACCTGCAGGAATGGGGCGCTCTCCTCCAGTCACAGAGCACAGACCCTCCTAGCACCCTCTATGCATTACCTGATCTCTTCTTACAGCCAGGAAGGTGACGCAGCCCCTCGTGACGTGTATATCAGTGATCACCATTTCCTGGTGCCGCCCTCCTGCCTGTGTCCAGGATAGGAAGAGGCCGCCTTCCCCGCAGCCAATCAGAGCCCGGCAGAAGGAAGACGCTGGAGTCGACCATATCAGCTGTTCTTGTCATAGGCACGCCGCGGTTGCTGTAGAAGTAGGTCACGTGACCGTACGATCGGTGTCCGTGCTGAAGCCGGATTGTTTTCTTTCATGACCATAGAACATGAGAGGGTCGGGGCAGCCGGGTGACACGTGGCACTGCAGACAGGGCCGGGCATTGGCTGCTTGCACATGGGCGTGTTGAATGATACCCATTTAGGGCCCATTCACACGGAGTCAGTGGGATGCATTATTGGCTGCATTCCCACTCCATAGACCGGCCAAAATCCAAGTTAGACTGCTTTCACACTGATCCGGTATTCTTCCGCTTTTGTGTAAAAAAAAAACGTGTGACTGTATTCCTATGGAACGCTTCACCCTGATCACTTGCAGGTCTGGTGTGTTTTTCAAAATCCTGCTTGCTGTATTTTTGGTGCGCTAAAAAAAAAACGCACCAAAATTACACTATTTAAATCCTATGAAAACACGGCAAAAATGCACCTGCAGTGCGTTTTTGGTGCGTTTTTTGAGCTGTGTGTCCTTTAACCACTTCCCGTTCCGGCCCATGCACATAAACGGCAGGAGCGGTTGGCGTTCATAAACAGCGCCCACATTTTCAAGCTGTGCATGCTCCCTGGGAGCGTACGGCACCGCAACCCGGAAAACCGATCGCTGTACGGGACCTCTGTGTGAGATCCTGATCATGT